GGATGGGTACAGCAGGGTCCGAGAGGGATACAGAGGGGCTAGAGGATAAGCCACCAATCTCCTCAAGGTTCCTCTTCATGGCCGCCTCTACCACCACCACTCGAGTGTCCTCTTGCTGCGCGGTGGGGATGGGTACAGCAGGGTCCGAGAGGGAGCCAGGGGATAGGGCAGCAATCTCCTCGGGATTTTTCTTCATGACCGCCTCTACCACCACTCGCGTGTCCTCTTGCTGTGCAGTGTGGGGACGGGGATAAGTAGAGAGGTAGAGAGGAGTGGAGAGGAGTTAATAAGCCACCAATCTCATCGGGATTCCTTTTCATGGCCGCCTCTACCACCACTCGAGTGTCCTCTTGCTGCGTGGTGAGGGGGGGGGGGGGGGGGGGGGGGTTATGGGTAGCAGCAGGAGGGAGGCAGGGAGTGAGGGAGGGAAATAGAGAGGAGTTGATAGGCCACCTGTCAGGAATCAAGATGCACGCGCAATCAGGGGGTGGGAGGGAAGAGCACATCCCTTCAAGGTTCCTCTTCATAGCGTGTAGTGAGTCGAGTTTTGAGCCGACTCAAAACTCGACTCATACTCAAGGTTCCTCTTCATAGCAGCCAGCCTCTACCACCACTGGAAAAGCGCCTGCCTCCCTACTGAATGCCTCTCTACTGTAAGGTGCTCTATTATTCAACACACAGCTCCCTATTCTGCCCAACGCACGCACAGTCACTTTTGAGTCGACTCAAAAGTCACCTAAGCAGCTCTATTCAACACACAGCTCCCTATTCCGCCCAACGCACGCACAGTGTCTGTCTGTCTACTCACATCCAGCCGAATCTCGCAGAGAGCTTTCAAGATGCGCACGCGGTCAGGGGGAGGGAGAGACGCGTAGAGCTCTGCCTCAGCCCTGGAGTGGGGATAGGGTCCATAAGGGGGAGAGGCGGGCACACAGGAAGAGGTGTGGGCACATGCGAGGCGGGCGCATGCCCCACCCCAGGGATCCTCAAAGCCCTGCGAGAATTCTCAAAGAATCCCTGCAGCATCATAGACGTGTGGGCACATGCGAGGCGGGCGGGCACATGCCCCCTGTTCCTTATGAGACGAGCGGAAGGAGCAGGAGGAGCAGGAGGAGCAGAAGCAAGCCCCACCAGGAGCAGGAGTTGAAGGGTGTGTGTACAAAGCCAAAGTCAAAAGCACTTACCCCTGACAGGAATAGAGAGGGCAAATCCCCGGTGCAACCTGGTTAGGGAGACAAGTAGGGATGCATTCACAGACACAAACAAGCACACACACATGCGTGCACGCAACGGCAACACACACCGCACGTGCGCGCACACGTACACACACACACACACGTGCACATTTGTGGGGAGTGGGAATGGTTTTCATTTAGATGCAAGGAGGGGCAGACACTTCATGCATGTATGCTGTATCTGCTGCAACGTGTTGTTTGTGCGGTGCAAACTCAACAGGCATGCATGCATCACACATGGCATGTATGCATAACACATGGCATGTATGCATCACACATGGCATGTATGCATCACACATGGCATGTATGCATGCATCATATCTCATCATGCTTGACTTGCAGCCTTATCTTGTGCAATGCACATGATTTCATGGGCCACACAGACATGGCATGTATAATGGATCATTCATGCCTACCTGTGGCCATGTGTTGTGCATGTGACGGTGCACAACAGTAGCCCTTGACTCATGCATGGCATGGCATGGCATGGCATGCATGCATCATAACTACCTGCAGCCATGTGTTGTGCACGCGACGGCACACAAGTGTACCCCATGAATGGCAAGCAAGCAACATACAACATTCCGCATGCAACAAGATCATCATCATCACGCATTCTTGATCACCCCTAACTACCTGCGGCCATGTGTTGTGCACGCGACGACACACAAGAGTGGCCCATGTGCGATGGTCGGCTGGCGGGCGGTTGAATGGCTGAATGCCCTGCAAGGGTAGAAGAGGAGGGGGACAGAAGGGAGGGAGAGATGAGAGCATGGCAGAGGGGACGACACACAAGTGTGGCCCATGTGCGGTGGTCGGCTGGCGGGCGGTTGAACGGTTGAATGCCCTGCATGCACGGGAGGAGCGGGAGAAAGGGGTGGGGCGGAGCGGATCAGTTCAGTGCTCCTGGTCCAAGTTTTTTTAACTGGTCCCGTGTCAAAGCATGAACTGGGACGAGCGACATGTGGGCGCTCCATGATGAGTGAATGCCTGAATGCCTTATAGCCTGAGTTCCTGAAAGGGGTGGGGCGGAGCAGTTGGCTCAGATCAATGTTCCCGTGTCAAAACATGAACTGGGACGAGCGACATGTGGGCGCTCCATGAAAAGTGCTATGCTGTGCATGAATGCATGAATGCATGAATGCCTGAATGCATGAATGCATGAATGCATGAATGCATGAATGCATGAATGCCTGAATGCATGAATGCATGAATGCATGAATGCATGAATGCATGAATGCCTGAATGCATGAATGCATGAATGCATGAATGCCTGAATGCGTGAATGCATGAATTCATGAAAGCGTGAATGCATGAATGCCGAATGCATGAATGCATGAATGCATGAACGCATGAATGCCTGAATGCATGAATGCATGAGTGCATGAATGCATGAGTGCCTGAATGCATGAATGCCTGAATGCATGAATGCCTGAATGCATGAATGCATGAATGCATGAATGCCTGAATGCGTGAATGCATGAATGCATGAAAGCGTGAATGCATGAATGCCTGACTGCATGAATGCCGAATGCATGAATGCATGAATGCATGAACGCATGAATGCCTGAATGCATGAATGCATGAGTGCCTGAATGCATGAATGCATGAATGCCTGAATGCCGAATGCATGAATGCATGGATGCATGAACGCATGAATGCCTGAATGCATGAATGCATGAGTGCCTGAATGCATGAATGCATGAATGCCTGAATGCATGAATGCATGAATGCCTGAATGCATGAATGCCTGTATGCCTGTATGCCTGAATGCCTAAATGTCTGAAGGCCTGAATGCCTGAACGCCTGCATGCCTGAACGCCTGAATGCCTGCATGCCCGAAAGAATGAATACATGAATGCATGAATGCCTGAATGCCTGAATGCCGGAGTGCCTGAATGCCTGAAGAAACAATAATTTTTGCGAAATGAAACCACTGGCGAAACACAGAAATTGCCGTAAGGTAACCACTCTACTGAAAAGCGTCGACAAGCTGACAGCAGATGCTGAGCGCCGCCTACAGTAAGCCGACTAACCCTAACGGATTCCGTCAACCGAACAAGCGCTACGAAAAGGAAATAACGTTGCGTTACGTTAGGATGGATGCTCGACGCGACTACGAGCCGCCATAGGCCAGTGATGCCAAGTCGCGTGGCGCTGCGAGCAAACCCTAGTCACCTTAAGAAGCGTAATGTGTATGTCTTTAAGAAGTGGAGACGGGTCCGGGGTTAGCAGAGCCGTTTCGATGTCTTCGGCTGTAGCGTCGATGTTAAGTTGTAGCGGCTCCCGGAAAATCTGGGAAAAAAACGTAATGGATTTGAGCAGGATCGGAGAGACATGAAGTATATGAGGATATTGCGAAGGAGGATTACGGGGAATACTCAGTGAAGACACGCGAGTGAGGCAGAGGCCATGGTTCGATGATCGCGGCGCGAATAACGCGACGCGAGAGATCCCGAATCGCCATTTAAGCTCGTTCACCTCAGAAGGATTTGGAGACGGGAAGCTGATATGGCGCATGAAATAATTTTGATCTACCGTTACAAAAAGGAAGACTCTGCAACTTTTTCTCATGCTATCATACTAACGCGACCAAGTGCCGGTAACCGCGGAAAGTCCTGTTTTTTAATTCAACCGTGAAATCAACGGCGACGCTTATGTCCTACGCTTGCGACGCATGAACGCGAATTATTACTCTGAAAAAATCAAGTATCGACGCAAACTCCCACATGCCGCGAATCTCGCTACGATCCCACCGGCGGTCCTTCGCGTCCTTAATCTCCGCCGCACGCGGCGCGGCGTCCACCGCCAACGCGCCTACCTCCTTACCCTCTGCAACCCCAGATTCCATAGCACCGACTTAATTCGCATGTGCGAATACGGAGACCAGAACAGTCTAACTAATACCGCAAACGGCGCGAAAGATACGATTACGATCGTGCAGCCTAGCGGGCGTGAGTATCGAGAGAGCAGCGATCAGAAAAAGACGAGACGGGAGTGAGCGCGTTTTCATTGTTACTGTATTCCCCGTGCGATGCCACAATCGCGTACAACCACTCCGGTCACTAACCTGTGGTACCAGTAAGTACAGCAATTATGTTACTGAACAATTAGCGAAATTATGAACAGTGAATAAGGAATGTACGTACTCTACGAGCAGCAAGCTGGGTTTATTAATAAAACACCTCCTTATATCCAAATGGCCCTATCAAGTTAGCCCATTTAGAGTGCCAACTAGCAGTAACATCACAACCAGTAGCCCGCCCATTTGACGGACACTATTCTGCTAAGTACACATCACCAATCTACCATATCCCCACATAAGACACCATAAACAGTCCTCTAGTTACTCAAGCTCTCCGCTAACCCATATGCCTTAAAAGCTGCTCACATGGCTAGCTCTCTTACTCATCATAAAGAAAAACTTCTGCAAACACAATTATGGTTAGACATTCCCCCATTCCTCCCTTTCTCACAGATTTCGCATCATCTGGTTTGACATTCACCGACTCTCTCTACCTAGTAACACTCCTCACCTCACTCACTCTCCTCTTCCCTTTCCCTCCTTCCCCACCCATCCCTTTCCCTTTTCCCCTTCCTTCACCTCCCTACCTTCCTTCTCCCCCACTCCTCCTGGCCTTACCTTATCCAAACCACCATCAGTATCAGCAGTGCCAGTAGCAGCATCCGCGCTCGATTTTCTCTTGACCGCTAAACCCCCATTCCCTTCCCCTTCTCTCTTCCCATCCTTCTCCTCATCCCCCTTTCCCTCCCCTCCAGCTCCTCCCCTCTCCCTCTCCCCCCTCTCCACTTTTCCCTTCTCCCCCTTCTCCCTAGCAGCTGTTCCTTCAACAGCTGCCTCAACCCGTTTTCTCTCACTCAACCGCTCTGCACCGCTCTCCTCTTTCACCTCTTCCACATCGCTGTCGGAAGAGGCACCTTCCTTCTCAGTGACACCTCCTTTCCCAGTTGTACCTTCCCCAGCTGTACCTTCCCCAGATGCCTTCTCTTCATCTGCCTTCTCTTTACCTGCCAGTCCCCGCACCTCAGTATCTGTCGGACCCCCTTCTCGTCCCTTTTGCCCTGTTTGCTCCTCTCGTCCCTGTCCCCCTTTTTCCCCCTCCCGCCCCTCTTGCCCTTGTCGCTCCTTTTCCCCCTCTTGCCCCTGTCGCTCCTTTTCACCCTTTTGCCCCTGTCGCCCCTCTTGCGCAGCAGCAGCAGTCTTTTGACCCTCCTCATGACCTTTCATCCCATCCTTCTGCCCATGCTTCTCCTTCCGCTCACCCATATCCTTGACCTTTTCCTTCTGCCTCTCCTTATCCCTCTCAACCGCATCGAACCCATCTCTTGAAACACCCCTTTCACCACGCCTCCCAGGGGAGATAGGCTCAGTTTCAACCTGACGTGAATCATGTTGCTTCGCAGGCTTCGCAAGAGCTGAACTCATCCTGATTTCTTGGGTATCCCCTACCGAACGCTCGTTTCCTTGGGACGTCTTCAACTCATTGCCTCTCAGACCCCCGTCTCTCTGGATTCGGGTATTCTTCTCTCCCCCCCCAGGTCCCTTCTCATCCACCCGTCCCTTCCCCTCCCTGATGTCTCCATCTTCTTCTGCTTTATCTCTGCTGCCTCCCTGATCCTTCCGCTTCCTCGACCTGCATTCTTCTACTTCCATTTGATCATTCTCCTTCTCCTCGTCCTTCTCCTCGTCCTTCTCCTTCTCACTACCCTCTCTTTCTCTCCCCTCGAGCCTCTGATTCCTGGTCCCACCGTCTTCTACCTCCATTTGATCATTCTCCTTTTCCTTGTCCCTCTTTCTCTCCCTCTCACTCTCTATCTCCCTCTCCCGCCCCCTCTCTCTCTCCCTCTCCTTCTTCCTCTCCTCCTCCTTCTCCCTCTCCTTATCCCTCTTCTTCTCCCTCTCCCTCTCCTTCTCCCTCTCCCTCTCCCTCTCCTTCTCCCTCTCCTTATCCCTCTCTTTCTCCCTCTCCCCCTCCTTCTCCCTCTCCCTCTCCCTCTCCCATTCCTTCTCTCTCTCCTTCTCCTTGTCCTCCCTATCCCTCTCCCTTTCCCTCTCCCTCTCCCTATCCCTCTCCCTTTCCCTCTCCCTCTCCCTCTCCCTCCCCCCTCTCCCTCTCCTCTTCCATTCCCTTCTCCTTCTCCCTCCAAGCTGCCCCATTTGTCCCTGTGAGATATCTCCCCTCCGCACCCTGCCTTTCAGCCGTTGTAACAGCATCAAACTGTGATTGAATCCTGCTGCTCTCATAACTACTCGGATCCACGCTCTGCTGTTGCTGCTGCCTCTTTTCCTGCACCTGCTGCCCCTCCTGCTCCCGCTGCTCCAGCTGCTCCTGCTCTTCCCGCTGCTCCAGCCTCCACTGCTGCCCCTGCTGCTCCCTCTGCTCCCGCCTTCCCTGCTGCTCCCTCTGCTCCCGCCTTCCCTGCTGCTCCCTCTGCCCCTCCTGCTGCCGCTGCTCCCGCCTCTCACGCTGCTCCCGCTGCTCCTGCCTGCCCTGCTGTACCTGCTGTTCCTGCTGCTCCCTCTGTCGCTCCTGCTCCCGCTGAACCTGTCTCCCCTGCTGTTCCCACTGCTCCTGCCTCCCCTGCCGCTCCCACTGCGCCTGCTCTTCACGCTGCTCCCGTTGCCCCTCTCTCCCCTGCAGGCTCTGCTCATGCGGCTGTAGCAGCTGCTGCTTTGGACGGTGCCTTCCCGTTCCCCCATCCTCCTCCTCCTCCATCTCCTCCTCTTGTTCTTCTACTGTGTCAGCTTCTAAGTCCAAAACAAGCCGTTTCCGCTTCTTCTGCCCCTGCCCCTGCCCCTGCCCCTGTCCCTGCCCTTGCTGCTGCAAATCCAATCGCCTTTGCTGCAGCAGCAGCTGATTCTGATGCTGATGCTGCAGATTCTGCCGCTGCTGAGTCTGCTGTTCCTGCCCATTCCCGTCTGCCTCCTCGTTCATGCCTGTCAACCGCTCTCCACCCCTACCAGCCTCCGTCTTCCACCAAGGAACATTCTCCTTCCTTCCCTCTCCTTCTCCCTCGTCACCCCCCCTGCCGTCTTCGTTCCCTAACTCCACGCCCAACCTCCTCCCCCCACTGCTTTTCCCGTCATCCCCCCTATACTGCTGCTGCTGCTGCAATTGCCTCTGCTGCTGCTTCTGCTGCTCTTGTGCGACTTGCTGTCGGGCTAGCTGTCTGGCCGTCTGAACCTCTTCAGCCACCTGCTGAGCTGCAAGTTGCTGAGCTGTTGCTGCCCTCTCTGCTGTTCCTTGCTCATCCGCTCGCTGCCTTACCTGCCCTACCTGTAACGCGGGTGCTGCTCGTGTTCCTTGCAACGCCGGTGCTGCTTGCACTGCTTGTGCTCCTTGTGTTGCCTGTGCTGGTGGGATCTGTGATGCTCCGTAGGGTGCTGCCCCTCGTGTGAGCGCTTGGTTGCTGTTGGGAAGAGGCTCGTTACTAGGCCCACCACCCATCCTCGATTGCTGCTGCTGCATCGCGTGTTGCATTTGCCACGCCTGTTGCTGCTGCCGCTGTTGCTGCTGGTGCTGCAGCGGATATTGGTTCTGGTGCTGCTGGTTTTGCTGATTGGGCTGCTGCTGCTGCTGCAGCTGCTGCTGATGGTGCTGCTGAAAATGATTCCGGTGCTGCTGTTGTAGCTGTTGCTGTTGCTGTTGCTGTTGAAACTGAATATGGAGTTGCTGTTGTTGTTGCTGCTGCTGCTGATGCTGCTGCTGCTGCTGCTGTTGCTGCATCTGGTGCAGCTGCTGCTGCTGCTGCTGTTGCTGTTGCTGCTGGTGCTGTCGCTGCTGCTGCTGCTGCTGTTGCTGCTGAGCCTGCTGCTGCTGTTTGTTCTGATCAGGCACCTGCGGCCACGAAACCTCACCTCCCATCTCTCTTCCCCTCTCTCTTCCCCTCTCTCGCTCCCTTTCCCCCTCCCTCTCTCTCTCACTCTCCCTTTCCTTCGCCTTCTCACCCCCCCCCTGCCCGTCTTCCCTTTCCAACGCCTGCACAACCCCCAGCATCTTCCTATACTTAGCCTCAGCCTCTTCCAAAGCCAAATCCACCCCTCTCCGCCGAAACTCCTCCTCCGAAGTAGTTTTCTTCACTGAAATAATCATCTTCAGCACCTCGACCTCTTTCCTCGCCTCCGCCGCTTCTCTCTCCATACGTTCCGCGTCGGCCAATCGCGACGCAGCAACCGCTTCTAGCTCCTGCACCTGCCATTTCTTCCGCGCTCGCTCCTCCTCCACCGCCGCTGCCTCTTTCCGCTTCCCTAGAACGTCCCTATGGCATTCCGCCAAAGCCTCTCGCGCTGCTTCCAGGCTGGATTGGTACCGAGGCAGAGACGGAGGTTTGGAAAGCGCTGACGTGGGCGCGGTGGGACCGGAGCTGGGTCTGGTATGGCCCGAACCTGGACCGGGAAGCCCGGGAGCAGGTCTGGCCGAGCCTGTGGCGGAGGCAACCGGGCCCATGGAAGGGATGGGAGAAGCGGCAGTAGAAGCAGCAGCAGGAGGAGGAGGAGCAGGAGCAGGAGGGGCAGCAACGGGAGCAGATGCGGCGACGGGAGGAGCAGGGGAGGGCGCCGCCATTGTTGGGGGAGGGTGAGGAGCAGAAGCTGCTGAAGCGGCGGGGGTGGCAGGATTGGGAGGAGCAGGGACGAACGAGGCGCCTGCAGGACGAAGGGATGGGGAAGGCGGAAAAGAAAAGGGCACCTTAGAGAGCAAGCAAAAACAAGTGGGGAGACTAGAGGACGAACGAGGCGTCTGCAGGGCGAAGGGATGGTGATGGCGAAAACAGTCGAGCCGGATGCAGGAAGCAAGTGAGTAATGGCAAAAGGCAAAGGTAAACGACAGTGAGACGAATCAGAACAACAGTGGTGAGTTGATGCGACACAGCAGATCAGGACAGCGTATCACCTGTCAGAGCAAGAAGAGAGCACACGAGGGCAAGCATACCCTAACCCTAACTTCCAAGCGCCGCACAAACCCTGAATGTAAGGACGCGGCACCTGTTTTCATTTTGCCAGGATCGATCGTGGGAGGGGATCGATGTGCCGCTTGTACAGTGTACTGGCGACATCGCCAATGCCTGGTATCCGTACTTCGCTAAACGTCGAGAATGTACAGTGAACGGGTACCCAAATTGGTGGCACCTGCAGCTCGCACGATCGATGTGCCGTGGTGCATGCGTTAAGGTTGGCGGGAGAGCATATCGCGCCACAGGTGACAGCCTCGATCGATCGGCGTCGCCCACGGTCGCAGGCCAAAAAATATTGAGTCGCTGCGAATGGAATTGCTGGACGACCATCCACGCTCTGCCCTGATTGGCTGCGCGTTTAAGTGTAATGGCAGCTCCAACCTGCCCGAGCCTGCAATTTCGATCCTGGCACCTATAGCTCGATGTGTCTACCCCACTGCAAATTTGCAGTGTGGGCACATCGGTGTGCCGATCTATATGCCAAGATCGATGTGAGGCCACGATCCTTGTAAAATGAAAACAGGTGCCGCGTCCTAACCTTCTGTAAGCGGCGGCTTGGATACAAGCAAGCCAAACAACACCCACCCCAAACGACACCCACCCCAAACGTCACCCACCCCAAACGACACCCACCCCAAACGTCACCCACCCCACTCACTGCTGGCGAAGAAAAGCTGCATGTCGCGACAAATGTCCGCGCACGCCCTGCGCCCCTCCCGCAGCTCCCTCAGCGCCAGCGCCGCCCTCCGCGCAAGCTCGCGCCCGATCGCGTCCGTGCTCGCGCCGAAGATCCCCCCCACGCACTCCAGCTCCCTCCGCGCGGCCTCCGCGTCCCACTGCGCGGAGCACAGGCGGAACACGTCGCGCACGAACCCAAACAGCTCCGACGACCGCGCGCACGCGGGGCACGCGAATTGCGCACTCGTCGCCGCCGTCGCCCCGTCCGCGGAGCCCTCCGCAGCCCCCCCGCCCGCCTGCCCTCCGCCTCTTCCCCCCGCGCCCCCCGCGCTTCCCCCCGCCCCCACTGCGCCATGGCGCACGAACCCCATGTGGAGCGCGCAATCCGTGTGGCACCAATGCAGACAAAAATCGCATCCGATCCACCGACACGTGTTGGTGTCGAAATCGAATTTCCCGCATGCGACACACATGCACAAATTGCAAAATCCCCCGCCAATTTCCGTGCTAGAAGCAATACCAGCGCTAGTGCCTGCCCCTGAGTTACCCCTGGTAACATCACCGGTGGTGTTGGCGCTGGTGGTACCGGAAATCCCGGCGGTATTTGTCGCTCCCCCGTCTGTTCCCGCCCGGCCGGATCCCCCCGGTTCGCCGTTGCCCGTCGTGCAGAAACGACAGCGGCAGCCGCCCGCGGGAAGCGGGCTCTGGCAGGCCATGTTCTGGCAGCGGCGGCGGAGGAAGATTTCGATTAAAGACGTCGGCGGGATGGCGATATCGGGGTGTAGAAACGCCTGGATGCCGGTCCGAACCGCGACGAGGATCTTAAGATGCGTGTAGTGCGCGCGGGAGAGGGACTCTGTGGAAAGGCCCGCGCCGGCGCCCGTACGCGTTATAAGCAGGCGCTGGAGGGAGAGGAACTCCGGCTTGCGGTCGGGCGTGCCGAGGATGTCCCATAGCGAGACGCGCAGCTGCTCCAAATGCGCGGGCGGCGTGGAGCGAAGCTTCGCGGAAACCGCTTCGACGGGGAGGGAGAGGAGGGACGCGAGAGTGAGAGGCTCGAGGGACATGGTGGGGGCTTGGGAGTGGGGCGGGGGGGCGGAGAGGAATGGCGGGACGGTTGGTGCTGCACTGCCGCGATGCGGAAACATGAGAACAGTGACCAAGGACCGATTATTGGACTATCGAATACAATCGGCTACAGTATCGGCTACTATTGGCTAGAGTATCCAGCTATATTAGACTATCCCGCTTCCACGTTATTCCACCGGTTTCTTGGCGACTTGCTTAGGAAACTTCTTGGAACCAGAAACTAGAGTCCAGGCTACGAATGAGGGTCCTTAGGTTTCGCGATATGGCCGAAACCTAAAGCGTACACCTACGCATCCGACGTGGCGACGCCACGTGAGGTGAGCTGTTACGCGGATGGTGACTCAGCAGCGACTTCCGTAAAATGCGTCAGGCACTGCACGAGAGGCTGTAGGACTTTGGCGAGTCAAAAAGCGAACGAGATTTTGTTGACTGGAGTTAGTTGACGGAAAGTCGTTGACGGGATAGGCGACGGAAAAAAAAATGAACAGACGGAGTACAGGCCAGCGTGTCTGAGATAGCATTACAGTTCTACACAATGAGTTGCCTCGAGATAGTATGGGCTTTGAGGATTACGATTATTGTGGTCAACGAAAGCGAGAAATATGGTGAAGGAACATTGAGTAAGCAAAGAACCCGTTATGGATTCTGAGAGGTAGGATTGGTGGTATAAGCGAAGGCAGCGCGAAATGGAGGCAGGATGAAGATACTAGTCAACCTAGACGCGCGCGTGCCTCTCGCTCTTCCCGCTCATATCGCGTTTCTTGGTAAGGTCAGAGCACGGATGATTGGAGCCCAGTCACAGAACACCAGATTGTTGTCTAGACTCTAGCAAGGGAACGATGTTGGCGCGATTGGCAGGGACGAGAGGAGAGGAGAGGAGAGAAGAGAAGCACCTACAAGTCTCGAAGGTGTGCTTGTAGCAATACAGTACATTGTGAACCAGCACCAAGCAGTAGCAGACCACATTGTTCCCGAGGGACAGACAGACAAGACCAGAGTGGCATGGAGCAATGCTAGAACTCCGCTGGCGGTACTCGAAACTTTGTGTCACAGAGAAGCCTCTAGAATCTCTGCAACCTAGATAACTCCGCTGGCCGTTTTCGAAACTTTGAGTTATAGCCTGGACTGTCAAGAACTGGTTGTCACAAGGCATTGTTTGTTTCAGTGCGATAAGAAGTGGTACACAGGTAATATATCAAGCTTACGACAGTACCTTCCAAGTTCCAACACCAAGGTTCAGAAGCAGTTTCGACAAAAGGGTCAAAAGCCGATTGATCTGACTGACATAAGGGTTGTGTGGCACGGCCACAGGCGATGTGCCCAAGGTTTGCGAGTTTCGCGGTCAGGAGATCGCATCGCAACTGGCTGTCGGAGGGAACGCGATACAGTACAGGTGGTCAACACGGCTTGTGCTGCAGAGGAGAGTGAACAGAGTTCTTCCAATACAGTAGCACATAACCTATCTTCTACATCTCCTCGATCACCTTTCCTTCATCTTCTACGGAGACACTTCTAACATACCCAATAGTGTACTAACCACGTTCAGCTCACATGAAAAAAAATGACATACCAACCTCAAAACACAGCCACTCATGGTCAGAATGCCATTCTCTAGCCCTTCACCTCGCCAGGTGGTTATGACGACTGTCGTTCCGTAGCCATGATGTGAACGGGTGTCAGCGTGATGAGGACACGTATGGACACTACTTGCTATGACACGTGAAGCGTTGACTAACCACTTGACGCTACGACGTAATATGGTAACTTACAATGCATTCCTTACGTTCACTTCCGTTTCTGCTGCACTCTCCGCTGTCTGTGATTTGTACCTTATTCCGTTACCTGTTCCCTTTATCCGTCTTGATTGTTTGCAGTCGGCTTGTGCCTCCGCCTTAAGACTCCTACCTTTTTTCGAAGCACCTGCGATTGGATCGACCACCGCTCTTCCTTGCTAGGCCAGCCGCAGCCTCCTGTGTGCTGCCTGGACGTTCTCGCATGGAACATCCGCGTGTATTCGTGTCCATATATTCCTTCCAGTAAAGACTAACTTGGTAGTTTTTTTCACGAGTTTCTGTAACATGTATTGTCTCATGCAGGCGCTTGCCTCCCTGTTTCAAATTCTGTGTGCTTCCGAGCGCGCGCTCTCCTCTGAGCTTGCTGCAGTGCCAGCTGTCTGTCAGATTTCTGGGTTAATGTTTTCCATCCGCTGATTAAGCAGCCACATGAACAAAAGAGGTGAGAGACCTGAACCCCGCTGAAGGATGAGCCGTTTACCGGTTACTGATTGAGAAAGTGCAATTAATCGCTGCCACAAAATGGTCTCTGAGGCCCTCTTATCAAGCTTTTGATAGCCTTAAGAGATGTTCGTGTGGCACAGACCAAAGCTTAGAGCTGGAGAGATGAATGTGCTGGTGGGAGGGGGGAGCACCTTAGCTCAAGTAGCTTGGGTGCACTTCAATAGTACCCACATAGCTAACGCCCTCTCCATATCTCAAACTGCCTTCTAGGCCTTCCTAGTCTACGTGCATCATTCTTGTTAGGGGATCATGCTTTCATTCAGTTTTTCGAGGGGAACAACTGGGTCTTAAGATGGGATCGTGTTTTGTGTGAAGTATTTGCTAGTAGCTGCTTGCCTCCTCTGCTGGATGGATTGATGTTTCTCTGCGTGTGTGCTGCAGGTGCCCTGCTAGCTGGTTCGGTCCATGGTTTCAAAGTTTGGGAGCTCAAGTTAGTGCGTTACAACTAATGTAGTGCTCTGTGTTTCACACAAATGTTTACTTCAAAACTGATACAGTGTGAGCCTTGGCTCAGCATTTGATAATAAAAGTCTCAATGAACCATATCTTGATTCAGAAGCTGTAACACAGTTCTTGTGATAAAGTGTTCACACAAACCTCCAACCATCTTTCCCATCCTACCCTTCTTTCGTTGATCGCTGATCCGCTCCTCCGGCACTTGGTCGACCAGAAGGCAGTCTCGAGGCTCAAATTCTGGATCTCTCGGTCTTGTCTAGGAAATTCCTCGTGTCATCCTCTGGTCGCTGTCCCTAGCCATGGCGACTGCTTCAGGTAGGCTTCCCAGATCATTAGTGCCTTCGCGCGTCTTTTTTTCCGTCGTCGTAGATTCACTCACCAGATCTCGCTGTCGCGTGCTCGGGATCAAGTCAAAATTCTGGACTGCGTGGGCTATTTTAGAGTTCTCCGTAACACCTTTTTCACATCCGGTGACGGTTTTCAAACATCGTTCTGGTGCCATGTGTGCAGCATCGCGCGGATTAATGGCCATCCTCGCTATTATCTCCCTCGTCTTCGCCGGATCTTGCGTGGCTATCGTCAATGCCTCGCCGTTAGCAACCGTGGAAGCAGCAAAGACTCTCGCAGTTCCGCTGGAAGACGGCTCCTACGGCAGGCGAGATTTGACGCTAATTACCTCATATATTCTCGAAATAGACGTAAATTCCTCGTCGTTGTCAATCTTCAGTGCGTCTTTTCTGTCAACTATGAAGGCATTCTGGTTCCATCCGTTCCGAAGATGGCTCGTTCGTCAGCTGGAATCTATATATTTTTCCTTTGTGTAGAATAAGTGGCATTAGTCGGACGGCATTAGATCATCGTGTCGTGTTTACTAGATTGAATGGCTTCAGATTTTCCGTTTTCCATCAATTGGATCGTTCATGACCGTATAAGAACATTCCGTTGGTTGTTGGACTTACATGGTTGGATGTTCCGATCAGCGATTGGTTTAGCATGAGTTAAACCGGCTGTAGATTACCAGAGCTGCGGGTTACCATGTTACACCCTCGTGTTTTCCGTCGAGAACGATGGATGCAACATCTCTGTTTCAGATCTCATAAATCAGAGTATGAGTTAAACCATGACCATGACAGTCAATGGTTGCTGGGGAGACGAAAGGCGCCGCTTTTGCTCGTCTTGTCGTCAGAGGGAAAAGGGCGAAATTGTTGTGAACTAATCGTTACTTTCAATCGCGTGTTCCCATTACAACGCGTACCGTTTTCAGCGTTCGCTCAATCCCGCACTCCCTTTCCACTACTTACCGGTTCTCGTCTCCCCGGGTTGACGGACACATTTCAGGCAGTGAATCTTCTGACCGTTCAGTGGCGCCTCAAAACCAAGCGCGCGAGTGTCCCCTGTCTCATTATGCGCTGCCGTCGCATTCTCCCTTTCCACCACTTACGGTTTGTCATCCCGCCAGTTTGAAGGAGACCTTTCAGGCAGTCAAGCTTCTGAGCGTCGTCTCGAAGTCGTCGCTCGATTCGGCCAAGCTCTGCGCGTGGCTGAAGAAGCTTCCAGCCGCCACGTCAGCAGAGGAGGCCTTTCAGAAGGTTTCGATCGCTGCTGCGCTCGGCTGCAAGGGCGTTAGCGCCGTTGTCAAGGTAACGCACCCGTCCTCTTCTCGAGTTTTGAGGCCGCTCAAAACTCGCTGCGCTCGGCTGCAAGGCCGCTAGCGCCGTTGTCAAGGTAACGCACCCGTCCTCTTTTCAAGTTTTGAGGCCGCTCAAAACTCGCTGCGCTCGGCTGCAAGGGTGTTATCGTTATATTTGTTTCTCTTTTTCATGACTATGTTCTGCTAGCTAGTTTATTCTGCCACTACGGTCATCCGTTCGATAGTAAATCCGCTCTATTTGCGCCGGCGTCTCTTCCTACCTGCTGTCGCACCTCCTTCCTTGGCAGGAAGCGGAGCCTCTCTTGTCTCCAGCAGCATCCTCGTCGTCCCTTGACCAGCTGTTTTACGCAGCAGCCGGCACCCAGATCCTCAAGGTGAGGCAGGGAGGCATACTTGAGAGGTAGGAAGAGATAATGAGAGCGGGAGAGAGCTGGGATTGGAGCCTCTCTTGTCGACAGCTGCATCCTCGTCGTCCCTTGACCAGCTGTTTTACGCTGCAGCCGGCACCCAGATCCTCAAGGTGAGGCAGGGAGACATACTTGAGAGGTAGGAAAGATGATGAGAGCGGGAGAGAGCTGGGATTGGAGCCTCTCTTGTCGACAGCTGCATCCTCGCCATCCCTTGACCAGCTGTTTTACGCTGCAGCCGGCACCCAGATCCTCAAGGTGAGACGAAGTGGATGCCTGTTAGCGTAAGGAGAGTCAGAGTGAGAGGGAGAGAGAGAGCGAGCTCACTTGTTGGGAGTGGTGCCTCTTTTGTTCAGGGTTTCCCCTCCCTCTCCCTTAGTGTGGAGGACGAAGGGGAGGGAGAGCACGTCTCATTTCTTTTCTCCTTATTCCGCCCCTACGCGCTCATTGCTTCCATCCGTTCCCTCCTTCCCCACGGACGCTTAACTCATACAACATGGTACCAGGCGAACAAGTAGAGTTCTGCGGGTCCTCCAAGGTGACGTTTGAGTCGACTCAAAAGTCACGGATGCTCAACTCATACAACATGGTACCAGGCGAACAAGTAGAGTACTGGGGGTCCTCCTCAGGCCTTAAGAAGCCCGTTGCTGCATTCTCTTGCGCCCTCGCCTCATGGCTCATTGCTCATTGCTTTTTTCGCTTCCCTCCTTTTCCACAAATGTTCCCGCCAACCGAATTTCATGGTACTACCAGGCCAACAAGTGGAGCACTGGGTCCGTGCCTGCAGGCCTCAAGAAGGCTGCTGCTGCTATCCTCGTAAGCCTCTCTCTCATCCACGCTGCTGCCTTCAGAGCCCCGCATTACGTTCGTCGCCAGTGTAATTGTGGGTGGCTGTGTTGTTCATCTGGTCCCATGCTCGTTGCCGCCTGCATGATTCGTTCCGACCTTTTTTGGAGAGACTAAAATCGTAAAAGAAAATTTTGTACATCAACAGGCACTGAAGCAGGCGGATGGCTCGTGGGCAACGGGGAAGGACGGCCAGGGGTCCGTGGCTGCTGCGGGCGTGGCTCTCGAGGCGCTGGCTGCACTCAAGGAGCTGGGGCTAGTGGATGAGAAGCAGGTGAGGTTTGATGGGTCGGAGGGTTTGGTAGTGGTGTGGAAAGGTTAGAGATGGTGCAGCGGGCGTGGCTCTCAAGGCACTGGCTGCGCTCAAGGAGCTGGGGCTGGAGGATGAGAAGCAGGTGCGAGCTGGGATGGGTGAGAGCTAGGTGAGGGATGGGAAAGGTGAAAGTGAGAGGTAGTGCTGCTGCGGGCGTGGTGCTCAAGGCGCGGGCTGCACTCAAGGAGCTGGGACTGGTGGACGAGAAGCAGGTACGAGTTGGTGAGAAGCAGATGTTCGGATTGGGAGGTGATTCAGCTTGGTACTCAAGAGTGTGAGTTGTTTTTGTTTAAGCCACAAGCACAGGATAAAACTCGGTGTTGGATCGTAGTAATGGAGTTTCTTAGCTCGTTATTGCGTGAGTGAATGCATTAGTGCTCTGTGTGTTCACGCGACAGTGCTCTGCTGTGTGCATTGTGTGCATGTGCCACGTGGCATTGCGTCGCTCTGCATGTGGCAGGTGTCGGCGGTTACAGATGCTGTCAGCTCGCTCTTCTCTCTCCTCACAGCTGACTGTAAGAAACGCTTTTTTTACTCGTCGTACAGCCCTTCGTCTTGCACTGTGAACGTACTCGTCGTTCGTCATCTCACCTGCATTAATCGTTGTACTTGAGCCCTTTGTCGCGCACTGTTGTTGAATCGAATCGAGCGTTAACTCGGCTCTTCTCCCAGCGCCTATGTTATCATGTGGATCTCTCCCTTACCACGCTTGCCACTGCATCTGCCCTCACGGGCTACCTTGCCTTCGACTCCACGCTCTCCTCCCCTCTCTTCCTTCACCCTGCCTCTTTGCCCCACCCCCTGCGCCCCGTGCCTGCCCCCCTCTCGTCCCTCCCTTCCCCCTTTCCTCCCTTCAAACCCCCATCCCGCTCCTCTCATTTCCCCGGTTTTCCCACTCGTCCAGCGGACCCTAGTGGCAACGCTGCTTCCTTCTTCTCAGCCTCGAGCGCAGAGGGCGGGACTCTCGTCGCCACAGCGTCCGCCGCCATCACGGGCTATTCCGCGCTCGCCTCCCCGCTCTCCTCCCCTCTCTCCGTCACCCTGCCTCTCTTTCGACCCCCTCCCCACCCCCTGCGCCCCGTGCCCGCCCTCCCCGTCCCTCCCGTGCGCGTCCCCGTCTGCCCTTCCCGCAGCCGACCCGAGTGGCAACGCCGTCTCAGCGTCACCCGCGGAGGGCGGGACTCTCGTCGCCACGGCGTCCGCCATCACGGGCTACCTCGCGCTCGCCTCTACCCTCGCCTCCCCCCTCTTCCTTCACCCTGCCTCTTTTTCACCCCTCCCACCCCCTGTGCGCCCCATGCCCGCCCTCCCCGTCCCTTCCCTGCCCGTCCCGTCCCCCCCCTGCCCGTCCCCATGGCCCCCTTCCCCTAGCCGACCCGAGTGGCAACGCTGTTTCATTCTTCTCAGCCTCTCCCTCGGAGGGCGGGACTCTCGTCGCCACGGCCTCCGCCATCACGGGCTACCTCGCGCTCGCCTCCACCCTCGGCTCCCCTCTCGCCGTGCGCCCTCCCAAGCTGGCGGAGGCGGGGCGCTATCTGGTGGCGGCGCTGCCCCTTTCACTGGCGGAGGCGGCTGCCTGGGCGGAAGCGCTCGCAGTGCTTGATAACAACCCGTGAGTTGGTTATGAACCGAGTTAAGGGGGGTGGGAGAAGGGGGAGAAGTGGGAGAGAATGCGGGGAGGGAGGGAGAGGAGAGGGAAGGGGAAGAGGGGGGAGAGGGGGCGAGATTGGTATGGGTTACCTCGCGCTGGCCTCCACGCTCGCCTCCCCAGTGCGCCCCCCCAAGCTGGCGGAGGCGGGGCGCTATCTGGTGGCGGCGCTCCCCCTCTCCCTCGCGGAGGCCGCTGCCTGGGCGGAAGCGCTCGCAGTGCTTGATAACAACCCGTGAGTGGTGGAACAGAGTTGTGGGAGGTGGGGGATGGATAGGGAGGAGGAAGGGTAGAGTGGGAGGCGGGGCGCTATCTGGTGGCGGCGCTGCCCCTCTCCCTCACGGAGGCTGCTGCGTGGGCGGAAACGCTCGCGGTGCTTGATAACAACCCGTGAGTTGGATGAGGGACAGAGAGAAGGGGGGAAGAAGTGGGGGAGGGGGAGAGACTGGGGAAAGAGGGTGAAGGCGTGGGCGGAAGCACTCTCTGTGCTTGATAACAACCCGTGAGTTGGATGAGGGACAGAGAGAAGGAAGGGGGGAAAGGAGGAGGGGGAGAGAACGGGGAGGGTGGGTGAGGTGGAAACTGCTGCCTCATATAACAACCCAACAAGGAGGCGAATGCTCTTGCAGTGCTTGATAACAACCCGTGAGCTGGTTGAGGAACAGAGGGGTGGGTGGGAAGGGGAAAGGGAGCAAGGGGTTTCTCGAACCCTGATGAGCTGTACGCTTCCCTGCTCGTTCCTGATGGCAAGGGGGAAGCGTACGCTTCCCTGCTCGTTCCTGATGGCAAGGGGGAAGCGTACGCTTCCCTGCTCGTTCCTGATGGCAAGGGGGAAGCGTACGCTTCCCTGCTCGTTCCTGATGGCAAGGGGGGAGCGTACGCTTCCCTGCTCGTTCCTCCCGTGTATCCCACACTCCCTGCCCCTCTTTTGCACCTTCTCTTTCCTCGTTATCTCACGCTCCTGTTCCTCCTTTCTTCTATCCACCCTCTGTTGTATTCCTTCCCTCTTGAAATGCCTTTCTTCACATTTGAATCCTCCTTCCGCGCTTCATCACTCATCCTGTCCACCTCCCATAATCTCCTCCCCCATCCCACTCCGCCCCCCCCTTTCCCCCCCTCCCCCCCCCCCACATCTCCACCTGCTCCCCCTGGCCATGCAGCATCTTTGTGCCCATCTTCCTCTCGTCTCCCGGCCACATCTCCATTTCTGCAGACCCCACGCTCACTGTAAGTCGTCCTTCCTCCCATAAGCACGCTTGGTTACTGTGAGTCCGCCCTCCCCTCGGCCGCTGCAGCATCTCTCCGTTGTGCCCATCTTCCTCTCGTCTCCCGGCCACATCTCCATCTCTGCAGAGCAGACTCCACGCTCACTGTAAGTCCTCCCACCCGCCATAAGCACGCTCACTGAGAGTCCTCCCACCCCTTATAAGCACGCTCACTTCACTCCTCACAGTGCCTCTCCTCCCTTCCATCCCCCGCTGATTCACAATGTGCACCCCCGCACCTGCGAACCCCCCCGCGTCCCCCCGTTCCCCTCCTTGTGTGACTGCAGATGAGTGTGACAACAGCGCTGGGAGGCAAGGTGCCAGGCGTCGCAGTGAAGCTGCAGAGTGCCACTATCTATTCCCTCCATCCCTAGTTCAATCTCATGTGGTCAAACCCCCCCGTCCCCCCCCCTCCTCCCCCCTCTTCCTTCCCCCCTCTTCCCCCCTCTTCCCCCCCTCCTCTCCGTCCTCATCTGACTGCAGGTGAGTGTGACAACAGCGCTGGGAGGCAAGGTGCCAGGTGTGGCAGTGAAGCTGCAGAGTGCCACCATTGGGGGCGGCAGTGCTGCATCGGGCAAGGAGCTCACAGCAGGCAAGGACGGCGTCTCCTTCTCCGCCAAGCCATTCTCCAAGGCCTCTACTCTGGGAGTCTACACGCTCAAGTTCAAGGTGAGAGGGCAAAGTCAAGGCAAGTCAAGGCAGTCAATATTGGGGGCGGCAGTGCTGCATCGGGCAAGGAGCTCACAGCAGGCAAGGACGGCGTCTCCTTCTCCGCCAAGCCATTCTCCAAGGTCTCTACTCTGGGAGTCTACACGCTCAAGTTCAAGGTGAGAGGGCAAAGTCAAGGCAAGTCAAGGCAGTCAATATTGGGGGCGGCAGTGCTGCATCGGGCAAGGAGCTCACAGCAGGCAAGGACGGCGTCTCCTTCTCCGCCAAGCCATTCTCCAAGGCCTCTACTCTGGGAGTCCACACGCTCAAGTTCAAGGTGAGAGGGCAAAGTCAAGGCAAGTCAAGGCAGTCAATATTGGGGGCGGCAGTGCTGCATCGGGCAAGGAGCTCACAGCAGGCAAGGACGGCGTCTCCTTCTCCGCCAAGCCATTCTCCAAGGCCTCTACTCTGGGAGTCCACACGCTCAAGTTCAAGGTGAGAGGGCAAAGTCAAGGCAAGTCAAGGCAGTCAATATTGGGGGCGGCAGTGCTGCATCGGGCAAGGAGCTCACAGCGGGCAAGGACGGCGACTCCTTCTCCGCCAAGCCCTTCTCCAAGGCGTCTACCCTCGGGGTCTACACTCTCAAGTTCAAGGTGAGGGCAAGGTCAACGCAAGTCAAGGCATTCAATGGGGTGGGTTGAGATTTGAGAGAGGGGCAGTGAAGCTGCAGAGCGCCACCATTGGGGGCAGCAGTGCTGCTTCGGGCAAGGAGCTGGCAGCAGGCAAGGACGGCCTCTCCTTCTACTCCCTCTGTTCCTCCCCCCTGTGCCTGCCTCTCCCCTCCTCCTCCCCCTGCCCCTTTCCCCTGTTCTGTTCCTTTTCTCTTCCCAACCCCTTGCTTTCTTCACCTTCGATGACCCTTTCGGCAATGCACCAGTGGAGGAGCGCTCCTCTGCTGCTCTCCCTGCTGTGGATTAGCAGAAACTCCGAACCACCTGTGCCTGTTTCTCTCCTTCCCACCTTCCCCACCCTCCCCACGCTCCGCACCTCCTTCCCTGTTCGCCTCCTTCTCTTGCGCTTCCCTCGTCCCCCAGATCACCCCTCCTGCGGAATCAGTCTTCATTGTCAGCAGTGCGTCAGTGGAGCGCCCTCTGCTGCTCTCTGCGTCCATGGCACCTTCTTGCATCTTCTCAACCACCTGTGCCTTCTTCTCTCCTTCCCACCCTCCCCACCCTTTTCTGCTTCCCTCGTCCCCCAGATCACCCCTCCTGCGGAATCAGTCTTCATCGCCGGCAGTGCATCAGTGGAGCGCCCGCTGCTGCTCTCTGCCTCGATGGCTGTCACTGGCGTGTCCGTTGCCGTGCTGGACAGCGATGGCGCCACTCCTGAGTCCGAGAAGAAGTGAGTATCTATGCGCAGGTGAGTGCGGGAGTGTGGCGGGAGGACCACAGTGGAGCGCCCTCTGCTGCTCTCCACGTCCATGGCCGTCACGGGCGTGTCTGTGGCTGTGCTGGACAGCGATGGCGCCACTCCTGAGGGCGAGAAGAAGTGAGTCCCTCTGCTGGTCTTGGGCAGTGGTTCGTTTGTGGGTTGAGTCCTGTGTGGGGGTGTGTGCGGTGCGGTCAGTAAGAGCACTGCACCCATGGCAGTCACTGGCGTGTCTGTGGCTGTGCTGGACAGCAATGGCGCCACCCTTGAGGCCGAGAAGAAGTGAGTGCCTGGGCTGGGCGTGGGTGGGTGTGAGTACTATCGGGTGCATGCCTGTTAGCATGTGGTGTGGAGAGGTCAGGGAGAGCGCTGCTCTTTGCCTCCAGGCTTTGTCAGGGACTCAGGGCTGTTTCTCTGTGTGGGGTGAATGTGAGTGCTATTGGTTGCATGTCTGATAGGCTGTGGTGTGTTGAGGTCAGTCAGAGCGCTGCTTTCTTCCTCAATGCTGCATAAAATGATGCAGGCAAGCAGTCCTGTGGGGTGGTTATCTTTGATTCCTCGCCTTCTCCACTCTCCCCACTCCACTCTCCTCCCTCCTCTCGCCAGGCTGGACTTTGAGAAGAGGACAAACTTCACCGACCTGTCTGCCACCCACCTGCAGAAGCTGCGTGTGTCGCTCTCCCTCGCCACACCCTCGGGGAAGGCCTTCATTCCCCACCAGGTACGGGGCAGGGAGCACGGCAGAGAAGGGTTTGAATCTCTTTATTGAGGCTAGGAAACGGTGCTGAGGGTTTAGGAGGCCACAAGAAGGTCTTTAGGGAAAGTCTTTGTCTTGCACCAGGTAAGGGGCACCCTGGAACATTCCTTCTTTTTCAGGGAAAAGAAGGAAAAGAAGAGTTTTCTCATCATGGAAACGCCCCACCCCAGCAACTACTTTAGGAGAGCAGGAGATCATTAACTCTGTCACAGGACTGCTATTAACACCCCATCTCCTCTCGCCTTGCCCCGCTTCCCTCCCTCCCTTTTTTTCTCCACACCCCCTAATGCCCTTCAGGCCGTGCTGCAGCTGGTGAACAGCATCGGCATGGCCTACTCCTTCCTGCTCAAGCCGTCCGGCAGCACCCTCTCAGTTCAGCTCGTGAGTGCACTCTTTCTGTGCGGCTCGCGAGTGCGGCCTTTCCTGCTACTGAGGTGAGTTTTAGACTTTTGAGGCGCCTCAAAAGTCTGTGCGGCTCGCGAGTGCGGCCTTTCCTGCTACTGAGGTGAGTTTTAGACTTTTGAGGCGCCTCAAAAGTCTGTGCGGCTCGCGAGTGCGGCCTTTCCTGCTACTGAGGTGAGTTTTAGGTGCCTCAAAAATCACCTCAGTGCTCAAGTTATCCGGCAGCACCCTCTCAGTTCAGCTCGTGAGTGCAGCCTCTCCAGCTACTACCCTGCTGGCCTGCCCACTGCCCTGCTGGCCTGCCCACTGCCCTGCTGGCCTGCCCACTGCCCTGCTGGCCTGCCCACTGCCCTGCTGGCCTGCCTGTCCTATGCTCTGGTAGTATCAGGTATCACTCGCCCTTTCTACACTTCACCCTTCTGCCATCACCCCCCCCTACTCGCTTGCTCCCCCTTCTTTGCACTCCTTCCTCACTCCCTCCCACTCCCTTGAGCCACTTTCTATCCCCTCCCATCTGCGCCAACAGGAGCCTCTGGAGCTGATGGAGCGGTGCGGCTCTTCTACCACTCGGGCGAGTACACTCTCAAGCTCGTTTTGGACGACCAAGTCATTCCACTCCTTTGCACCGCTTCAAACTACTCTCTCCACTGCTTTTCACCGCTCCCCACCCATGCGAACAGGAGCTGCTGGAGATGATGGACTGTCTCTTCTACCACTCGTGCGAGTACACTCTCAAGCTCATGATCGGCGATTAAGTCATGGACAACGCATTTGACTGGCAGCTCCCTCTTCACTCCCTCCCACTCCTTTGCACCGCTCCCCACCTGTCCAAACAGGAGCTACTGGAGCTGATGGACTGCCTGTTCTACCACTCGGGCTAGTACACGCTCAAGCTCATCATCGGAGACCAAGTCATGGACAACGCATTTGACTGGCAGCTGGGCTCTGTTGACCTTGACCTGCCTGCTGCCCCCACCCTCCTCTACTCACTCCACCGCTTTTCACCGCTCCCCACCCACCCCAACAGGAGCTGCTGGAGATGATGGACCGCCTCTTCTACCACTCGGGCGAGTACACGCTGAAACTGATCGTGGGCGATGCAGTCATGGACAACGCATTCGACTGGCAGCTGGGCTCTGTGGACCTTGACCTGCCTGCTGCCCCAGAGACTGCCCCCAAGCTGCCCGCCCGCCCCGAGTCTCTGGCTGAGAGATTCTCTGCCAAGCCCGAGATCGCACATATCTTCCGCAAGCCGGATTCCCGGCCGGCGTTTGTCGTCTCATACTCGTTTGTGGCGCTCGTGCTGCTGCCGCTGGTGGTGCTGCTCGTGGGGGTACGTGTGGTGTGGAGTTGTGTGGTTTGGGGATATGTGTGGTACGGGGTTGTGTAGTGCGGGGGTATTTGATGTGAGGATATGTGTTTGTGGGGTTATATGTGGTGTGTGTGGGGTTACACTTTTTGTGCCTGGTGTTCGCCAATTTTACTGCCTCGATTGTAGCTGCCACAACGCTGCTGCTCTCTCTTGGCGCTTAGCTCAGCACACACCTTTTTCTTACCCTGTCGTCCACCTTTCCCCTTATCTCAAGCTGTACTCCACTCTCGTTTTCTGTGGCACTGCTCCTCGTTCTCCACTTCTCCTTCACTCAGCAAACAGGATAATCCGCCCTCGCATCCCTGCCTCCCTGCTTCCCATCCCTCTCCGCTCCTCTCTCCACCGCCTTCCACCTTTTCCCACCGCACAGCTGGCGGTGCTAGGAGTGAACCTCAAGGCCTTCCCCTCTGGGGGTGTGCCTCTCCTCTCAGCTCTGGCCTTCCACGGGGGAATCGCTGCGCTCCTGCTGCTCTACGTTGCTTTCTGGGTGCAGGTGGGTAGACGTGTGCATGTGTTGCATGTTCTCGTCTGGAAATTCAGGTGGAGTACCTTTGTCTGCTGCTTACTGTATCAGCTTGCATTCGCCTTGGCTTCCTATTTTTCCACTGTTAAATCTGGCATTCATAGCTTCTGCCACTGAACACTAAAACCCCCATTTGAAACTATCATAACCCTTCTCCGCTTGTCTCAATACACTCTCCTATCACTGCAGGTGAATCTGTTCACCACGCTCAAGCTCATCCTTCTCCTCGCTGTCCTCACAGCCATTCCCGGCCACCAAGTTCTCTCCTACCTTGCTGACGTGGCACCTAAGGCCAAAACGGAATGAGAGCAGTGTGGGCCCATGCCTCGTAAAATCCATGGAGTCGTACATTTTGAGAACCTGTCTCTACTGGACGGGAGAGTCTAGTTGCCGTTAGTGATCTTATGTGTTGAGGCTTATGGGTGACGTTAGACTGCAATCAGTCTGATTTAGACGAGGTAGGGTATAAAATTTACTTGGTGCTGATATGGCTTCTTTCTGCACGTACAAGCTTGCTCATATTGCACTAAGTGAAGCACAATAGCGAGTCTTCCGTGTGGATGACTCAACCTCGGTTTTTAAACTTTGCGTTCCATTTGAGAAAACACGATGCATAGGCCAAACGCGGGTGCCAAAATAAACATTTTAATACGGTTGAATGCGATTTCGTACGAGAAAGTGCGATTCGTCTACATAATAGCTGGTGCTTCTGGAGCTTTCCTTGACTATCTATGTCGAAGGCTTCAGAAAAGAGAGCTCGAGGCACCAGTTTCTTCCTGCAGCCATAGCTCCGGGGCTTCTTTTTCGGCTCGCTTCTGTCTTCTGAGCGCCGGTTTCGGATCCTTTAGTTTTTAGGTGGGGAGCTTGGTTAACTTGCCACCGCGAGGATCCTAACCCTAAATCGTAATCGCAGCTGTAACTTTGGGGTCGTCGATTCAGAAACGCAACCGCAGCTGTGGTTGCAGCTCGAGCCCCACGCTGTCGAACCTCTTCGCCCCAGCTCGATCTGCTCGTTCGCCCGCCGTTACATTTCGCCTCTTGCGTCGCAACTCGTTCAGAGACTCGTTCGCCGGTCGCACTCGCAGTGTTAAGCTCTTTCGCCCATCGTTTACTACACGGCTCCCCTTCCTCCCTCAGGGACCAGGATCCGCGAATTCGCTAGCCGAATTCGCGACTGTTCGAGCCGCCAATTCATTAATCAAGGAGCCTCCGAATCTTTAGATCCGCTGGTCGATTTGCTATCGGATCTTTTAGATTCTATTCACTAGGCGCCATGAATCTCGGGGCGATGAAGAATATGAAGGTGCCGCCCGGAGCGGGCGGCGCGATCGGATCGGTACTGCGCGCTGCAGTGGTAGGCGGTGCGGTGCTGTACGGTGCGGTGCACAGTCTGTACAACGTGGAGGGAGGTCATCGCGCGATTATCTTCAACCGGCTATCTGGGATCAAAGACACGGTGGGTTTCGTGGTGAATCTGTTCAGTGCGGTGCTGGACGGTAAGGCGCAATCCATGATTGTTCTTGAAGTTAGGTCGTCCATCCATCGGGTTTGATCTGAGTGTTCCCGTTATAAGCAGTCTCGTTGGGTTCTTTCGGACGTAAGGTCTCAGGCTTCCTCTACGCGCTGTCCTCCCCCCGCCCTCCCCTTTGCGCCCGTTCCCGCCATCACTGCGCATGCCCAGCGTTGGTCTGGATGTATCCCATCCTTCGAACCCCCCTTTTCCCCCTCCCACACGCCCTCCGCTCCCCCACTCCTCCCCTCTTTCCTCCCGCTTCCCCGTTCTTCTTCATTCACTTCCCCCCTCTTCTCCCCCTATCCCCGCGTTCTCCCCACCTTTCCCCCCTTTCCCGCGCTCACTCCTTGGCTTTTAAACCAAAAGCAACCTGCAAATTTGGGTGTACTAGGCTTGTCATCGCCCCCCCACTCTTCTCCCCCCCCTCTCCCTCCCTCCTCTCCTCTCCTCCCCCTCTCACTCCTTCCTTCACTCACTCCCTCACTCCCTCCTTCACTCACTCCCTCACTCCCTCCAGTGCTCTCAACCTTTCACTCTATTTGCGCCATTTGGATATCCCATACCAACGTATCCGATCCCACAGGTATACCAGGAGGGGACGCATTTCATCATCCCCGGTATTGAGTGGCCCATTATCTACGACGTGCGCGCGCGACCCCATCTCGTGGAGAGCACGTCCGGCAGCCGCGATTTGCAGATGGTGGGCCTCCTTTGTCCTGTGTACTGGGTTTGTCGTTTAGCTGGCGATCAGCCGCGTTTTGCGGGCGGCGTGGGTGCCAGGTGGCAGCTTGCTGGGTGCAGACAGGTGGTATTAGTGCTCAGCTAAAGATTCTTATTATGTTAATGTATGTTGCTACGTCAGCTTGATTCTTTGCTGCGAGTTTTGAGGCGCCTCAAAACTCGCCCCATGTGGGACCGTCTCCCCACCATCTACCGCAGGCTAAGGCAGGACTATGCAGAGCGGATGCTTTTGCGGTTCTGACCTGTGTGGTTCCTCCACCCCCCTCCCTGCCCTGCTTTTTCCTCCCCTACTCTTCCCTGCCCTTCTCTTTCCTGCCCTACTCTTTCCTGCCCTTCTCTTTCCTGCCCTTCTCTTTCCTGCCCTTCTCTTTCCTGCCCTACTCTCCCCTGCCCCTCTCTCAGGTCCGAATCACCCTGCGTGTGCGCACTCGCCCCATGTCCGACCGCCTACCCACCATTTACCGCACCTTGGGGCAGGGCTATGCAGAGCGGGTGCTTCATGTTCCCACTCCCCTTTCCCACTCCCCTTTCCCACTCCCCTTTCCCACGCTTGTGCAGGACTAAGCTGGGCGGGTGCTTCATGTCCCCACTCCCCTTTCCCACTTCGGACCTCTGTCCTCTCTCCACCCTTTCCTCTCAGGTTCGAATCACCCTGCGAGTGCTCACTCGCCCCATGTCGGACCGACCCTCCCCACCATCTGCAGCACGTTGGGGCAGGACTAAGCAGAGCGGGTGCTGTGGTCTCCTCCTTTCTTCCCTTACCCCTCTCTGCCCTGTGCCCGTCGCTCCCCTGCCTGCCCTTCCCTCTCAGGTTCGAATCACCCTGCGAGTGCTCACTCGCCCCATGTCCGACGGCCTACCCACCATCTACCGCACGCTGGGGCAGGACTATGTCGAGCCGGTGCTGCTGCTTTCTCTCTCTCCCAGACCCTCTTTCCTCTGCCGACCTCTGTCTCTCCTCCACCCTTCCCTCTCAGGTTCGAATCACCCTGCGAGTGCTCACTCGCCCCATGTCCGACCGCCTACCCACCATCTACCGCACGCTGGGGCAGGACTATGCTGAGAGGGTGCTGCCGTCGATTGTCCAAGAGACTCTGAAATCCGTGGTGGCTCAGTATAACGCCAGCCAGCTCATCACGCAGCGAGAGGTATGGGGTTGGGGGGTAGCGTCGGTGGGTTGGGGTAGAAATGGAGGAGCAGAGGGCGTTGCCGAGAAATCCGTGGTGGCTCAGTATAACGCCAGCCAGCTCATCACACAGCGAGAGGTGCGTGCTTGCACTGAGCGGTACTGAGCAGTACAGAGCGGTACTGAGCGGGCCAGGACTATGCCGAGGGGGTGCAGCCGTCCATCGTGCAGGAGACTCTGAAATTCGTGGTGGCTCGGTATAATGCGAGCCAGCTCATCACACAGCGAGAGGTATGGGGTTGTTGGGTTGTGTTAGGATAAGGGTTGGGAAAGCTGGGACGAGTTATGGGAAGCACAGCACACAGGATGTCTCCGTCGATTGTGCAGGAGACGTTGAGTTGAAATCCGCGGATAATGCCAGCCAGCTCATCACCCAGCGAGATGTATGGGATTGCAAGGGAAGAGAGTGGGGAAGTCTGTCTCGCTGGGGAAGGATCCTCCTGGGTAGCGTTCGTGGGTTGAGGGTATTTGAGGCGCCTCAGAAGATTGCAAGGGAAGAGAGTGGGGAAGTCTGTCTCGCTGGGGAAGGATCCTCCTGGGTAGCGTTGGTGGGTTGAGGGTATTTGAGGCGCCTCAGAAGATTGCAAGGGAAGAGAGTGGGGAAGTCTGTCTCGCTGGGGAAGGATCCTCCTGGGTAGCGTTGGTGGGTTGAGGGAAGGGAAGCAGGGGAGGGACACGGGGGAGGAGGCAGTGCCGATGGACGGGCACGTTCGACACGTTTGTCCATCGAGTAGAGTAGATCACCAACCTCACATTCGGGTGCGAGTTCACTCCTCACTTTCTCATTCACCCCTTAAACCCCCCCCCTCCCCCTCTCTCCTATCCAATCTGTGAGTCGCGAGATTCGCCGAATTCTCGCGACTCACAGAGCAGCCAGTATATGGAAGACAGAGCAGCATCCTTCAGCATCACTTGATGATGTCTCCATCACCAACCTCACGCTCCCCTCTCCCCCTGTCCCCCCAGTCTGTGAGTCGGGAGATCCGCCGTATCCTGGAGGACAGAGCAGCGTCCTTCAACATTGCGCTTGATGACGTGTCGATCACCAACCTCACGTTCGGCCGCGAGTTCACAGCAGCCATCGAGGCCAAGCAGGTGGCGGCACAGGAGGCAGAGCGCGCCAAGTTCGTGGTGCAGAAGGCCGAGCAGGACAAGCGGGGAGCTATTATCCGAGCGCAGGTGAGGGGAGTGGTCGGTTCACTGTAAGTTCCTTTCAAGAGGGTTCTTTTCAAGTGCAAAAGGGCACTTATTGAGCCCCCTTGGAAGTTCACGGGTAGCCGTCTCTCTACCCGCGTGATTGGCAATTGTGAGGCACCTCACAAGTTTTTGCAAGGGCACAAAGGGCGCTTGCTGGCAGTGGCAAGGGCCTCTCCTTTGGAAGAGGCCGTTGCCCCTGCCACCTCTGAGGCGCCTCTAAAACGACTTTTTGCAGCTGACAGGAGAGTCGCCTCAAAAACGCCTCAAAAGTACCCTCATGCGCGCAGCTGACAGGAGAGGCCATTGCCACTGCCACCTGTAGTTCATGCGAGGTGCGGAGGTACCTCCGCAGCCCACCTGTTTACTAATAACCGCAGCTGGCAGGAGAGGCCATTGCCACTGCCACCTGTAGTTCATGCGAGGTGCGGAGGTACCTCCGCAGCCCACCTGTTTACTAATAACCGCAGCTGGCAGGAGAGGCCCTTGCCACTGCCACCTGTAGTTCATGCGAGGTGGAAAAGCTACTGAGGCCCTCATTAGCTTTTGAGGGCTACTGAGGCCCTCATTAGCTTTTGAGGGCTACTGAGGCCCTCATTAGCTTTTGAGGGCTACTGAGGCCCTCATTAGCTTTTGAGGGCTACTGAGGCCCCTTGAATGGAAGAAAAAGGCTTTCATTGGCACAGCTGATAGGAGAGGCCATTGCCACCCACCCGCACTTCATTCATGCCTGTGCCAATTCAAAGAAAGCCAGGCAATGGCCGTACCCGCACTTCATTCATGCCTGTGCCAATTCGAAGAAAGCCAGGCAATGGCCGTACCCGCACTTCATTCATGCCTGTGCCAATTCGAAGAAAGCCAGGCAATGGCCGTACCCGCACTTCATTCATGCCTGTGCCATCACAGGTCAAAGAAAGCCATGCCTCCATCACTATGCCTCCATCACTATGCCTCCATCACTATGCCTCCATCACTATGCCTCCATCACTATGCCTCCATCACTATGCCTCCATCACCATGCCTCCATCACTATGCCTCCATCACTATGCCTCCATCACTATGCCTCCATCACTATGCCTCCATCTCTATGCCTCCATCACTATGCCTCCATCACTATGCCTCCATCACTATGCCTCCATGATCCATCACTATGCCTCCATCACTATGCCTCCATCACTATGCCTCCATCACTATGCCTCCATCACCATGCCTCCATCACTATGCCTCCATCACTATGCCTCCATCACCATGCCTCCATCACTATGCCTCCATCACTATGCCTCCATCACCATGCCTCCATCACTATGCCTCCATCACTATGCCTCCATCACTATGCCTCCTGATTCACCCTCCCATCCTCCCCTTCTCTCCCCTCCTCCCACTCTTTCGCCAGCAACTCCTCTTTCATCACCACATGTTCCTGAGGCGCCTCAAAAGCCGACTTTTGAGGCGCCTCAAAAACCGATCCACTCTCCCATCCTCCCCTTCTCTCCCCTCCCCCCACTCTCTTGCGAACAACTCCGTATTGATCACCACACGTTCCTGTGCCCTTCTCTCTCCTTCCTATCCTCCCGTGTTTTTCCCCGCCCCTCCTCGCTACCACACACCAGGGAGAGGCCACGAGTGCGCAGCTGATAGGAGAGGCCATCACTTTTGAGTCGACTCAGAAGTCACCTCATTTTCCCCGCCCCTCCTCGCTATTGCTCAACAGGGAGAGGCCACGAGTGCGCAGCTGATAGGAGAGGCCATTGCCAACAACCCCTCCTTCATCACTCTGAGGAAGATTGAGGCGGCCAGGGAGATTGCCAACACTCTGGCCAATAGCAGCAACCGCGTCTTCCTCTCCTCTGATTCGCTGCTGCTGAACCTGGCTGACGATAAGAGTGATGCGCCGCCCGCTCCTGCTGCCACAACTGGCAAAAAGAAGTGAAATAGTTTTTGTTTGGTGCATTGTCGGCTATTTTTGACATGTTGATGCATGCATATAGTTTACATGAAAGTTGAATGATATATGCGCACCAATGAAATTTGTTTCCCATTTGGGATACCCTATTGTGATTTGACCAACCATCTCTGCTGCGCACAATGTGGGATGGCAAGCACTTCCCAATACGTGCAGAAAGCCTCTGAAGCTCAGTTCCACTAAAATTGCAGTACTACATTATTGTAGTTATCTGATATTCTATCTATCCCCCAGGTAGCACATGTGCATCCCAGACCTGAGCTTCTGCGGAGAATTCGGAGTGTATCAGTGCTCTAATGCAGTTTCTTGAATGAGGTTCGTGGGCTCCTCGCAATGACCGAAAAGGCGCATGCCACGGCAGCCTTATCTGGCAGCGCAAGGGCATCTCATCTGACGGCAGGTTGACGGCAAACGTTCCATTCAACGTTGAACGTCAAATTCAAACCCAAACACCTGAGCCCCTGCGAGACTTCACCGCGAATTGTTCAGATTCTGTTACTTGATATTCACGAAGTTTTGGAGCTGTGCAAAGTTTTCGCCACCAACGGTTTTGGTTCGCTTAGGAATTGCTGGTTTGTCTCTCCTTGCTTCTTCTCCGCGGCCTCTTTCTTCCTCGCCTCCTTTCCCCTCTCCTCTCTCTCTCCAGTCGTTAGGGTTTCCCAGCGGCCTTTCCGCTCAGCTTCCAACAAACACAGCCATGGCAAGTCCTCTTGATCCTTTCCCGTTTAGCTCGTGTGCCTCACTGTGCGTGCGTTGGGGAATGGAATTATTGTTTGCGGTGGTCGTGCGGGGTGTTCTGTGTGGATCAGTGTTGGATGTGAGGGTTTTTGTCAGGGAGGCTATGAATTGGCCGTCGTATTCCTCGCACCTTGTAGCGGGTGGTAGGGGCTCGTTCGGCGGGTATGGGAAGGCTCAGTAAGTGAGATATGGCCGTTCCCCTTCCCACAAATGCGTTCATTGGCCGAGTTTGCCGGAAGGCGGTCGTAGTGCGAGGGTTCCGGAGCACGTGCGCTGATTCCTTAAGGAGTAGTCTGTTTCTGGCTAGCTGTGGTTGCGCGTTTCTTCTCTAGGGTTTAAATCCCTTTCTTAGCTGAATTTACTCATTGAGGGGGCTAGTTCGTGTGGCATTTCGATAGTAGTGCGACCCGGAACTTCCATGTGCTTGATTGTCGGCATTTCACGGGCTGGACTGCTAAGTCACATGTCTCGTTAGTTTGTCAGTATCTACGTCGTTCTCTCTCGTTAAACCCTCTTCCCGTCATCCTCCTCTGTCCCCCGCTTCCACCCGCGCGCCTTCCACGCTGCTCTCCCCTCCGCCGTTCCCCCCTTCTCATCTCGTCCTGTTGCCTCTCTGACTTTCTTCGTCCCCGTCCTGTCGTCCAGTCCAATACTCTCACTTGTCTCGTCTCGTTTCATAACGGCTCGACTCGTCTCATAGCGTTTCGATGAGTTGGAATCATCCTTGTCTCGTGCCCCTCAGCGGTTGACGATCAAAGTGAATGTTGCGAAGGAGGAGCATGTTTTTTTTTTTTTTTTGCCTGGTCTCCACCTCAGCCGGTTCTCTAAATCCTGTTTCCTCCTCCCTCCCCGCAGTCTTCCAAGAAGAAGGTGAAAGAAGTGAAGGAGGAGAAGGGTCCCGCTGGCCCGCAGGTGCGAGAGGGCGAGATCGTCTTCGGCGTCGCACACATCTTCGCATCCTTCAACGACACCTTCGTGGTGAGTAACATTTCGCGCAGTTCGTTCAGTCTCTTCACATTTATGTCACGGTAGTGTCTGTTTGTGCTATCTTCAACTCGTCTTCGTGTCTGCGATCCAATCGCGTTCGCTGGGTTCCATAGCTTTTGATCCGGCGCAACAAGCATACGATGTCTACTTTCTCCCGTTTTCGTCTACCGTCGGCTTTCCCCCCTGCAACTAACCCTCCACATTTGCTTTTCTCTCCTCCCTCCCCCACCTGCACCCTTCCCTTCCCGATCGTCTCTTCCCCATCTGCCCTTACCTGCAGCACGTGACAGATCTCTCCGGCAAGGAAACCATGTGCCGAGTCACTGGTATGCCCCTCTTTTTCCTTTCACATCTAGCGCTGTCGTAGGTTCCAAGCCTCCGCATAGCTCTCCGTGCTTGCTGCAATGGGCCCATTCCCCCTAGTCTTGCAGAGTGTTGTCGACGCGTTAGGGTTCCGGTTAGTTTGTGCGTACGGTGAAGCCATACCTTGAGCACCAGGTTACAACGCATGGTAGTGATTAGCCCGTCACCTGGCCGCTCGCAGGCCACAGTGCCAGACTCTTGCTCCTGCTCCGTAGCCTTAGTATTAGGTCGAACCTTTCGCTGGTGGAGTTACTAGAAGGAGCCTACGGCGTAGTTATGCAGTTCCATCTGTTTCAATCCGCCGTTCGATGTATGGTGTAAGTACGACGTTTCCAGATTCCAGCGGGTCACTCTGACACTCCGTCAAGCGTGCTCGGGACCCTTAGCTCTTGCTGCGGATTCCAACCCCTTGTTTTCCCTTAAATGCCATCTCCCATCGGCTATTTTTTAGAATTCTCAAAATTACCCTTCTTCCCTCCATCCCCGCACCCTCACGCTCTTCCCCCCTCGCCCCTCGTTTCCCCTCCCCCCCAACCCCCGCTCCTCTCCCATCCTCCTGACACTGATTTCTTGCCCCTTCGCGTGGTTGGCAACTTTTTTCTTTGGGGGCCTGGCCGCGATTTTTTAGGCGCCTCCTGACATTGATTTCTTGCTCCTTCGCGTCGTTGGCTCTTTTGTTCGTGGGTGGGCAGGCGGCATGAAGGTGAAGGCCGATCGCGACGAGTCGTCCCCATACGCGGCTATGCTTGCGGCGCAGGACGTAGCAATCAGGTGCAAGGTACGTGCTGGAATCAAGGGACTGTCGATCATATCCCCTGACTTCTCTCCCCTAACGTCTCGGGCACACCAGAACCTGGAACCACAGGGTCGAAATTGTCTTTTTGCTCCTCATCATGGGCCCCCCCTCCCCACCCTCTGACGCTCCGCCACTCCCACGAATCCCGCCTCACCCGCCTCCCGCCGCCGCGCCCTCGCTTCCGCCTCTCAGGAGCTGAACACACAGATCGGCAAATCAATCAAACTCATTCGCCACCCAAATTTTCGATTGCCCTGTGTTGCGCTTCCTTCTCCTCTCATTTTCCACGCACCCCCATCTCCCTATCCTATTTCCCTCTCACCCCCATCTCCCTCTCTTCCTTTGCCCCCCTCTTTCCCTCCCCTCCCCTCCGCCTTCCCCCTCTTCCCCCCTTCCGCACTTCCCCCTTCCTCACTTCCCCTTCCGCCAGGAGCTGGGCATCACGGGGCTGCACATCAAGCTGAGGGCTACCGGCGGTAACCGCACCAAGACGCCTGGCCCTGGAGCTCAGTCCGCCATCCGCGCTCTTGCCCGTTCCGGCCTCAAGATCGGCCGCATTGGTACTAGCCTTGTCCCCTTTTTGTTCCCATCGAGTGTGCAATTTCCACCCCAAGTGCATTCCTGCTCCTTTTTACACTTCAGCCACCAGTTTTTTAGGTGGTGAGAGTGATACTGCAATATGTGGCTTTGTTGTCCACTGGGGTCTAATATTTGCTTTTGGTGCTGTTGATTGTCTGGGACTGTGTTGTGCAGAGGATGTGACACCTATCCCCACCGACAGCACTCGCAAAAAGGGTGGTCGTCGCGGTCGCCGTCTGTAAACCTTGTGCCTTACCATCTCTTGCTGGGCTTCAATGTTTCTAGAATATTGCACTAGCAGCAGTAGCAGCACCTCAGTGCACGCAGCAGCTGAAGCTGAGAAGCAGCAGCAAGGAGAGTCCTTTTTAATCCAATAGTGCTTGTTGCAGTGCCCAATTATATTTTCACCTGTGGCATTAGTCCATAAATCTGCCATCAGTACAGTACCTCGTTAATTAGCAAACAAGGCTAGTAGTCCGGTTTGGACAAGTTTTGGTCTGGCACCGCAAGGCCATGACGCTTGCAAAGCTGTCCGAATGAATGTCTAAGTTCAGTCGTTGGCTTGGAGTTGCGTCCTAAGCATAGCTCAGGCTCGGTGACGGAGAGCCTAGCCTGGGTTCGAGCTCCGGCTCGGCGCCGTTTCCTAGTGGTCCCGAGTCGAAGCAGCGCGTGCCCCCATGTGTTCATCCCTCTGGAAGCTCATGTGAAAACAGTCAACAGCCGACATCCGTTAGGGGGTGTCCTAAGTGAAACGTCGACATCCGTTGACATCCGTTTGGGGATGTCGGTAAATCCTGACGGTTGGAACTGTCGATCCGAGGGATGACATTTACCGACATCCAGCGACATCCATTGACGTTTCACTTCGGACACGCCCTTACAGAATTGATCGGACTCCCGCAAAAGTTGTCGTCGAATGGGTGAATTCGACGGCCGGTCGCCGTTTCGTTAGTTTTTCGCACCCAGCGTAACTTGACGGTCGTCGTGCCACACTCCCTTGGGAACACCGAACAGCAACACAGCTTCAGCTCAACAACTAGAATGGTACAGCAGCAGCCGAAACTGGTCATGGGGAGAGGGGGCAAATGGTAACGATTCCTCCCTCGGACCCTTCTCAACCGCGCTGTATATTTATTCAATAGCTCTAAAGCGCAAAGAAACCTGTTATGTCGCATTGAAACTGAATTTGGGGGCATGCCCTGATAACTACTGGAAGGCTTTGGACTGACTTTCTAGACTAGAAGTAGAATATACCTCCACCTTAGACTGCTCAATAGCGACATCGGTCGGTACCAGCAACTACTTGCAGCCCCCCCTTTCCGCAGTTGGAGCTTTCTTGATTGTAGTCGATGCGGGTCGTTAAGGTCGCGTTAGCGCTTCCTTCGCATAGGGTACGGTAATTGTTGGGCTCATGCATTCAGACTGGGCACCTTCATGTTCCTTCTCGTCCCCTCTTCTTACTCCTCGCACGTCGAGATGCGCGCCGGGTCGAACGATCAAGATGCGTCGACAACATCCATTAGCGAGTGTGGCTATTTTGGAGATTGTGTAACAAACATTAGTTGTTGGCCAGCGCGTAAGTGAAACGACTGTCAACAGCCTACAAGCTCTGCTTCTTAGGCGGGTATATCAATAGCCCATTACCTCGCAGACGCAGGCGTTTTATCTAGTCTGCAATCGAGGCTCTGCACAGTGTAAGCCAATTATAGCTCGCATAAACTAATCGGTGCAAAAACCTTCTCTGAAAGGAACACGTTATGTCGGCCAGACAAAGCCCGCTTGCTGCTCCAGGAATTCCGCGACACGTGTCCCTTGAAATTCCAGTCTCGCACCGCTTGTCGTCGGAAATTCCGGCGTCAGTATCCGTCCGTTGCTCTAACGACCTTGACGACACGGATTCCGTCTTCTCCCTCGCCCTTGATTCTGACGTTCCGTCCGGTCCACCTTCCCCAAAGCTTCCTCATCAAGTCTCGGTTCCTCGTCCGTCGTTTTCCCCGTCCCTTCACGGTGCCCCTCACGCTACTGTGCCTGCCGACCGTTTCGCACCTACGAATTTCGCAACAGCGGATTTTGGATTGACGACTTTCGCGAACGATAATCATTTCGCGACTGCCAATGTTACACCCGCTGCGGACTCTGATTCGTCCGTCTCGTCCTCCCTCACCTCAGTCGACCTCTCTTCCGCGCGAACCTCCTCTATAAGCACATGCGGACAGCTACAGCAGCAGCTTATAGCGGGGCCTAGATCCGATGATGTGGCGCAGCGCATCGCGCCGCGGGATGCGGGGGACGCGGATTCGGAGGCGACGGCGGTAGCCACGGCGGCAGTGGCGGGAATTCCGCCGGGCGGCGCGCTAGCGGCGCAGGTGGAGCAGTTTTTGGCGCGAGCGGGGGAGGTGGATCAGGAGTTACGCGATTTGAAAGTGACTATAGCGAGGCTGCTAGGGTTTGTGGACGACTATCGGCTATTATCAAGCAAAGATGCAGTGGAGGTGCGTTTGATTGTTGATAAATTGCTTGCATGAGCCACTTTGTGCATAAAAAAAACACAGCATAAGGTTTTCCAACCTATTTTCTCCTCCCTCCCTTGATTTATTTATTCTAATTTCGCAGAAGCTTGCAGAGAGGATGACGTCAGAGCTGGATCGACTGCAAGGCACAGTGACTGGAAACTTGAGAGACCTTATCAGCAGCATCTTTCCAGGGGAGTCTGACAGGGTAAATTACCCCAGAAATGACCAGCACTCGGGCAGCCTGAGCAACAGCGGGAAGCTGGGAAGAGGCGGGATTGGGGGAGGAGGGAGTGGGGGGAGAGGGGGTGTGGTGAGTAGAGTTGGAGGCTTGGGGGCGTGGTTAGGCTCGGGAATTGGCAGCATCGGGACCAATAACAATAGCGGCAACAGCAGCAGCGGCAGCAGTGGCATCAGCAGCAGCAGCAGGGGAGCGGGAAATGCGGCCATGGGGCACATTAAAGCGTCAGTGGCGGCTGCAATGGTGGAGAAGCTATGGCGGCGGCACAAGGAGGCTGGTGACGTGGCACTCCGATTGAACATGGGTGTCCGGGACACTGCAAGAAGAAGGTGGGCGTGATGGGATAGTCTGGAGATGTGCTGGTGTGTCTTGGGAAGGGCTAATAGGAGTGAATGGGCTATGGCGGCGGCACGAGGAGGCTGGTGACGTGGTACTCCGATTGAATATGGGCGTCTGGGACACTGCGAGGAGAAGGTGGGCGTGATGAGATGTAGTGAGAGGCTTGAATGGTGAATGGGCTATGGAGTGATTTTTTTTTAGACGTCTCAGAAACAACCTCGCTTCACGTGAAGGTGGGCGTGATGGGATGTAGTGAGGGGCTTGAATGGTGAATGGGCTACGCAGTGAGTGAGGCGGCTCAGGGAACTGGTTTTTGAGAATTCTCAAAAACCAGCTCGTGATGGGATGTAGTGAGGGGCTTGAATGGTGAATGGGCTATGGAGTGATTTTTTTGAGACGTCTCAAAAGCAACCTCGCTTCACGTGAAGGTGGGCGTGATGAGATGTAGTGAGGGGCTTGAATGGTGAATGGGCTATGCAGTGAGTGAGGCGGCTCAGGGAGCTGGTTTTTGGGAATTCTCAAAAACCAGCTCGTGATGGGATGTAGTGAGGGGCTTGAATGGTAAATGGGCTATGGAGTGATGCGGCTCAGGTGACTTTTGAGTCGACTCAAAAGAAGGTGGGCGTGATGGGATGTAGTGAGGGGCTTGAATGGTGAATGGGCTATGGAGTGATTTTTTTGAGACGTCTCAAAAGCAACCTCGCTTCACGTGAAGGTGGGCGTGATGAGATGTAGTGAGGGGCTTGAATGGTGAATGGGCTATGCAGTGAGTGAGGCGGCTCAGGGAGGCTGCGGATGGAAGGAAAGCTGGGGGGAGGGAAGGGGGGAAGGGTGGGGGTGGATTGATTATCGGCGTGAGAGACTCTGCAGGGGGGAAGTGCTTGGATGGGAGTTATGGACGGCCTATGGCTCATCTCCTGATTCTTTCCTTTCTCGCTTCACACCCACCCACACCTTAGATATTCCCCAACCCGTCTCCAACACCCACCCACAGAGACCCACACACACCACCACCACCACCACCACCACCACCACCACCACCACCACCACCACCAACAACAACAACAACAACAACAACAACAACAACAACAACAACAACAACAACAACATTCCCACTACCCCCGCCACCTCAGGTACACGGACGTGACAGGCTGCGCCCCTTCCAACGACTTGGTCGAGCAGCTCTGCTCGCCTGCCACCCCCGAGTGCCTTCTCTCCCGCCTCCTCTGCTCGTCCATCTCCTCCCTCCCCTACCTCCGCCCCTCCCAATCCACCTCGGGAGTCGGAGGGCTCGATGCTGACGTGGAACGGCTCGTGTCTGAGCTGGCGGCGCGTCAGCAGCTGTCAGCGCAGGTCGGCGACAGGCTGGCGCGGCTGCAGGAGGGGATCCAGGAGCTTGTGTGGCTGCTGGAAAGCGGAATAGGGAGCGATGAGCTGGCGAAAGCGAGGAAGCGGATTGGTGGGATTCCAGAGCGGGGAGGGGGAGGGGGGAGTGGGGGGGGGAGGGGATGGGCAGGGGGAGGGGTTGGTGGGGCTTCTTCAGCTTATGTGGCTATGGGGGGTGAGGGGGAAGGCAGCCAGGGAGGAGGGAAGGAGGGGGGAGGGGATGGGAGGAAATGGCACTGGTCATGTGTGGTGCTGGTGGGGGTGCTACTGGTGTCGTCACTGCTTGTCGTGCCTGCTACTGTGCTCTTGCTCATGTTTGTTAAGTGAGACGACACCCTTCTCTCCTGCTTCTCTGTCCTGCTTCCCTGTTTGCGCTGCTCTATTCTGCTGCTGTCCCCTGCTGCTGTACCAATGCTCGTGCTGATTTAACCGAAGCTCCTCTGAACGTGGTTTGGGAATCGCCGAAGCTGCCTTGGCCTTCCAGTCCAGCAGCTCCTTCCTCCTCTGTACAGTCTGGTAGTTAGCTCTTCCAACTCCCTTATATTGCTTTATCTTATCCTAGCAACAGCTTCTGTGCCTACTGGTAGTTGTGTTGCTTGCTACTGGCCTTGTGGTGGTGCAACGTGCATCAGACCTGTTGGGAAAACAGAAGGTTCAAGCCCATCTGACCCGACGAGGCTCTTCCACCCGCAGGAGTCACGCACACTCACGCGCTATATACTAGCAGATGCTTTAGTCAATTTAATATCAACTCCAGACCCTTGTGCCTTGTAGTGGAGCATACCTACATCCGTCCTGTAGAGGAAACAAAGAGTTTTACCGTAAGTCCAACTGAGGCCCCTCCACTAGCAGTCACGCACACACTCGTACTGCCTAGCAGCTGCTTGAGTCAGCTCAAAATCAACTCCAAGCCCTGGTGCCTTGTAGCGGAGCATACGTACCGGTACATAAATCAGTCCTGTAGAGAAAACGAAAGAGTTTCAAGTCCCACTAAGGTTCCTCTACAGCAGTCACGCACACACTTGCACTGGTATCTAGCAGCCTACTGCACCCCCCGTGGTCCACACGCGCTGCTGCCTCTGCCGCTGGTCCCGGCGTGTCCGGGAGTCAAGTCACGACTCACAAGCTAGTGTGGCATGCATAGCGCCTTGTGGGAAATGCATTGACCCAACCAAGGCTCTTATTGTACGTCAGTCACTCACACTCTCGCTCCATATATGGCCCAACCATGATGCTGCAAGGCGTTTTTGAGAATTCTCAAAAACACCCTGCACTGCAGCATAGTGCCTTGTGGGAAATGCATTGGCCCAACCAAGGCTCTTGTACGCCAGTCACTCACACTCTCGCTCCACGTACGGTACGGTGCCGCTGTCCACTCCACTGCACTCCCCTTGAAGCGCTTTGAAAGTCGTGTCAGACGCAGCGTAGAGTGTCTACCAGAACTGTACCAAACCAGTGCATAAAGTATGCCATGCCAGTCCTCAGGGCCACGTCATAATGGAAGCGAAATTCACCCAGGGCCTTATTCCATTATTATTCAAGGACAAGCACACCTCGCATCAGAAGCATCTACAAGCCCTTTTATCTCTGCCCCTTCAACTCCATCCACCCAATCTGCTGCATCCACAACCCGGTCCATCCATCCACCCACCCAATCAGCCTCTTGCAAGGTCTTTCATGTCAAGTCCCGTACCCATCCCCTAGCACGTTCTCCAGAATATTACTCACCCACCCCTATTTTTTAGGAACACCGTACAAAACAGGAAGAGTACACTCCGTACCCACAAACTCGTCGGGCATGAAATACGTATCCCCGTTCGCAAAGTGCAGCTCCCGAGCGCACGGCTGAACCGGGAAATTCCACGCGTAAAGAAAGCTCACGGTCTGCCCGGGGTAAAGCTGAACATTACCCCTGGGGCCCTGGTTGAATTGAACCGCGCAGTTGCCCTTCTTGAACCTCTCAACGCAGCAAGGGCTGAAGACCGGAACGTTCTGGAAGCGGGTTGGTTTGCGAGCGGGGTTGTCGAGCGAACCAACCATAAGGTTGTTGAAATCGAAGCAGTTGAAGAGGATAAGTGGGCTTAGGAGGCTGTACTTGCATCTGTTGACCATGGTTAGATTGAAGATGTAGTTCTTCTGATACCAAACGCCCACGTACTTCTGAGCGATTCTCAGGGTCGTCCTGCCGCAATCTGGATTTTATGGGGAAGAGTTGGCAGATGGAAGGAGCGAGTAGAGGAGGGGAGGGGAGGGGAGGGAGGGGAGGGGGAGAGGGTGGAAAGGGTAAGGGAGGGAACACTACTCCATTCTAGGTATATGAGATGAGGTATATGAGAGGAGGCATTTGAGATGAATTGAGACATATGAGATGAGGCAGATGAGATGGGGCATATGAGATGAGGCAGATGAGATGGGGCATATGAGATGAAGCAGATGAGATGGGGCATGTGAGATGAGGCGGATGAGATGGGGCATATGAGGTGAGGCATATGAGATGAGATGAGGCATATGAGAGGAGGCATATGAGATAAGCAGATCAGATGGGGCATGTGAGACGAGGTATGTGAGACGAGGCATGTGAGATGAGGCATATCAGAGGAGGCATGTGAGATGAGGCAGATGAGATGGGGCATATGAGACGAAGCATATCAGAGGAGGAATGTGAGATGAAGCATAGGAGACGAGCAGCACGGCCATCATTTGATATGAGGCTAAGCTTTTGTTGCAGACAGCAAGAAGGTAGAAGATGAGGCATATGAGATAAGATAAGCTCACTCACTATCAGTAAGGGGGGGCTTCCACTGAAGCTCGCGCCTGTGCGTCTCCATGTCCTTCAGGTGCTCCGGGAGAGGCTCATCTGCGTTATAAGACTCAACGTTAAGAATCCGCGGGCCCTGACGCTGAATCATATCCGCGATCGCCTCCGCGCCGCTCGCGCCACCTGCAGCGGCGGCGGAGACGGCGGAGACGGCAGCATCCGTGGAGGCAAACGCGGGCAGCGCGGAGGTGGTGGCGGAAGCGTCGTCCGGGGAGCTGAGCGCGTCCTTGCGCGCGTGAGCGGCGGGGAGGAGGGACGCCGCGAGGAGGGCGACGAGGGCGAGCGCCGCATCAGCCGAGATATCCGGTCTCCTAGATTGCACTAGCTCCACTGATGCTCCTCGAGGGCCGTGACGGAGTGCCATAGTTGCGAGGAACGTCAAATTGTAGCAAACGAAGCTGAAAGTGTTGATTTTTGCTTGAGAATCCGTTGCCTCAAGCTCTTGTTTAACAGCTGCTTGTTTTCAGCGAATGATGATTGAAATCAACCAATTCGTCTGACTTTATTCGTTCGTGGGGAAGGCGAAGGCGAGACGTCGTTACTAAAGCGTCCCGTGAGCGTAGTAGCACTGGTTAGCACCGACCAGAAGGCGTATCGAATTCGTTAGGCTCAGTGAGTGAAGGTTCAGGGTAAAGGTCTTTCTCGGTGAAGGTGTTACACGCTGAAGGTCGGTTCTGCTAGGCTCTCCCGACCATGCAGCTGTCGCTTCGCGGCGGCGCGGTGATTTCTCCTTCTAGACATGGCTAGAGGCGTTACTTGCAACTAGCGGTCGTTTGGGGGGGTCGAGACGCGCTCTGAGTGGATTCGGAGAAAACAACAGCTCTATTCGGGCCGAGGGTGTCCCATTCCCCGCGAGGGAGGGGCCGCGAGGAGGGCCGATGCCCTCGCCGTCGACGATACGGCACCTGCGTGCTTCGGCGGCACGTAGCTTTGCAGAACATTTTTTAGCGACCCCAATAACAAAATATACCCACCTTAGGCGGTTCTTGCTAACTCCCTACGCCACGGGCTTCAAGATGTCGTTAAGAACTGATGAAGCGTGAGCAACGAAGCAGTTGCGATGCGACGACACCTGGCAGTGAAACAAGGGGGTGGGAAGAGAATGGGAATTGTTGGGAGGAAGGGATTTGGGGGAAATGGGAAATGAATTGGGTTGACGGGGGCCGTTAGGGGAGAGGTTGGTTTGGAATGGAAGGGGCTGTTTGATTTGGGGGGTCACTGCGGCAGCAGAGGTTGCATGTGACATGTGGCGGCTCGGAAAAGCGGTTGGAATTAGGAATTTGCGACTCGCTCGAACAATGTGCTCGAAAACTCAGTAAAAATGCACAGCTGATAAACGCGTTAGAACGTAGACATTACGCGCTATATTATCCACCCACTTCAATTCCAGTATCAAGACTATGAACCCAGCATTCTTCGTATATCTTTGACTCAGCCATGACTCCTAAATGAGCTTATCGTCGTCATTATGAACCGTTGACATGCCATTTTCAAGGTCTTGTCTGGAGCGAGAACGATATGAGCTCGCTTCTGGCGCCAACATTGCCGTGGGTTGTTGGCGCCAACATACAACTGATTATATTCTTGTGGACTGTATACAAGTTTCTGGATGTCCAACATGGCATCATGCGATAAAGTCAGTTGCAATTTACGGCTGGAAATACCGTACATTTCTGCTAGGACATGTCTGAAACCTACGGTAGGTATCAACCTCAGCTAAACCTTGGCTCTTCAATGGTTTTTGGACAACGCAACAGTTGCTTCAACAAAGCCTCATCAAACGTGGTGTTATGAGCTGTCAAACAGAGTAGCGCGGAAAACGAATAACGAAGCTTGTGACTAAATAAACTGACGATACAACGAGAAGGCATGCGATTATATGGGGAGACAACCTAGCTAGGCGGGAACCTCGGGAACACGAGGTTGGGTGCAGGTTGGGCAAAGGAAAGCCGAAGGCGACGCAAAGTTGCTTCGGCAGCAAGCAAAGTAGCCGAACGTGCACTTCCGAAAGTTGGGGTTGTACGCGGTTGAGTAAACCCCAGTAAGGACAAGGGGTTTTTCCTTACACGTGGCAACACAGCTTCCAAATGTCTCAACAAGGCTCAGACATAAGCAGGAAGGTAATGACATGCTCCTACCAGATCTGAAGCTTGCCAACTGTTTGACGAAGGTTTCAAAATGGCGAGATACGTGCATTTGTGCACTAATCCGTATCCTTGGACATACAGAAGGTAGTCTATTATACATAGGCCAAGCCATCATGACTTAGTTGCAAGGCGCTATCCGAATTGGAAGTGCACTATCACATCCACAAACAAAATAGAACAGATGTAGTTTTCACCCAGGGCCTTATTCCATTGTAAAACTGAAGTCTCACAGACAAGCACACATCAGAAACATCTACAAGCCCTTTTATCTCTGCCCCATCAACTCCATCCACCCAATCTGCTGCATCCACACCTTCCATCCATCCACCCAATCAGCCTTTTGCAAGGCTGGACTTCGCAAGTCCGGTACCCATCCCCTAGGCACATTCTAAAGCAGATTATCCTACCCATCTACTTAGGAACACCATACAAAACAGGACGAGTACACTCCGTACGCACAAACTCGTCGGGCATGAAATACGTATCCCCGTTCGCAAAGTGCAGCTCCCGAACGCACGGCTCAACCGGGTAATTCCACGCGTAAAGAAAGCTCTGAGTCTGCCCGGGGTAAAACTGGACATTACCCCTGGGGCCCTGGTTGAATTGAATCGCGCAGTTGCCCTTCTTGAACCTCTCAACGCAGCAAGGGCTGAAGACCGGAACGTTCTGGAACCGTGAAGGGTAGCGCGCGGGGTTGTCGAGCGAGCCAACCATCAGATTGCCGAAGTCGAAGCAGTTGAAGAGGATGAGCGGGCTCACGATGCTGTACTTGCACCTGTTGACCATGGTCAGATTGAAGATGTAGTTCTTCTGATACCAAACGCCCACGTACTTCTGAGCGATTCTCAGGGTCGTCCTGCCGCAATCTGGGTTTCACGGGGAAGCATTTGCGGAGAGGCGGGAGGGGGAGAACGGGGGAGGGGGGAGCGTTAAGGGGAGGGAACACTTCTGCCTTTTAGTAAAGGGATTTTGAGATGAGGCCAAGCCTTTGTTGCAAACAGCAAGAAGGTAGGAGATGGGCTTATGCGATAACTTATCGTGAAGATAAGTTCACTCACTATCGGTAAGGGGGGGGTTAGACTGAAGCTCGCGCCTGTGCACCTCCATATCCTTCAGGTGCTCCGGGAGAGGCTCATCCGCGTGATAAGACTCATAGTGAAGAATCCGCGGGCCCTGGCGCTGGGTCATATCAGCGATCGCCTCCGCGCCGCTCATGCCGCCCGCGGCATTAGAGACGGCGGCGTCCGCGGAGGCGGACGTGGAGAGCGCGGCGGAAGCGTCGTCCGCGGAGCTGAGCGCGTCCTTGCGCGCCTGAGAGGCGGGGAGGAGGGACGCCGCGAGGAGGGCGACGAGGGCGAGCGTTGCCGCAGTGAAGAAGCCGCGAGGGAGCGCCATGGTGGTTTGGGAACTTTGATGAGAGGTTCTTGCGGAGTTAAATTTGTACTAGCAGTAAGTTGGAAGCAAAGGAAGCTGGAGCGGTTAGTTTCGGCTTGAGAACCCGCTGTCTTGTTTAACAGCTGCTTGTGTTCAGCTGATGATGATTGAAAGCAACAGATCCGCCTGACTTATAGTTTCGTTCACGGGAAGGCCAAGGCCTCGAATCCAAGGCGTTCCGTGAGCGTAGCTGCGGTGAGCGACCAGAGGGCGCAGCGGTTGAGTGGGGGTTTCTGCGAGAGTCTCCCCGCGACGGTGCAGCTGTCCGCGTCGCGGCGGCGCGATCGCACCGTTTGGACATGGTTAGAGGCGTTAAGTGCAACTACCGGTCGTTTGGTGGAACGGAGACGCGCTCTGAATGGATTCGGAGGATTCAACAGCTTCTTACAGGGCTGCGCGCTTTGACGATACGGCTCCTGCGCGTTTCGCGGCGCCTGCTTATCAATGATTTTCTTTATTTGTTCCGCTCCAGGACCCTAACAAAAACTCGACCCAGCGTGGGCGGTTTCTGCTAACTCCCCATGCCACGCGCCGCCCCATGTCGTTAAGAACCGAGGAAGCGTCCAGCAAGCATTCAGTTGCGACGACTCTTTTCTCCTGCCAGTGAAACCAGAGGTTGGGCTGTGAATCCAACTGTCCTAGCTAACAGAAAAAATGGGTGACTGGAATAGGGGCTAGGGAGATGAATTTGGGTTGAGGGGGGTTTGTTGGGTGAGAGGTTGAATTGGCTTGGCTGGAAGGGGCTGTTTGGTTTGGGGAATTGGGAGCCGTTGCGGCAGCGTGGGTTGCATGCGACATGTGGCGGCTCGGGGAAGCAGTTGACATTTGGTGGTTTGCGAGCGACTCGCTCGGATGAAACTCCTCGATAATTTGGTGTGGTCTGGCTGTTTACACATGTTTGAATGCACACCCTACGCGGAACAAACATAATGAATCTGATTCTATGGGACATCTAAAAGGAATTTCAACACGATGAGTGATAAACTCACGAAAGTGAAAACAAGCGTTTCCAATAAAGCGGATTGAGTGAGGCGCGTAAGTTGAAAATTTGCAAATTCAAAATTATGAGGCCGCGTCTGCAAGATTGGACCTCGTTCCGCCCAACAAGCAGTCCAAAGCCCCAGCTGGGTTCATTAACTCGTCTACTCGTCAATGGAACAACGGAGACGACTCAGTAAACACAGGGAACTACTTTCTGAAAACGGGCCTTGCATGAGTCGGGAGGAGTCCCACATGTTGGCCGTTTGATTAGCATCAAGCTCCCGCTGTTGCTTGCAGCTGAACTTCCGTCACACGGGTATTGTGTAGGCGAAGCTTGCACTGGCTAAAAGTTTTGTGAACATTCGTGCGAGAAAAAGCTCAGGATTTACGACGCTTGAGATAATTCGATTAGACACGCAGCCGGGGAAAATTAGGATGCTGCTGAAAAAAGAGTGGACGTAAGGGAGTTTCTTCGTTGCGAACGACACGGAATTACGAGGTTCAGACCCCTGGTATCGACATGGTTCTTATTCATCCGAGTATCATCAGCAGCGTCGCGACGCGGCTGGGGAGAAAATGGGAAGACGAGGAGGGGAGGACGATGTACGAGAAGGGAGAAGACTGCCTTGGTAATTTCCATGGATTATCCCGTATTTTGCCACGTCGGTGTATGACCAGGTGACTTTTGATTCGACTTGCCTCGGTAATCAGCCACCTGCCTTATCTTAACACGACGCTCCTCTCGTTTCTGCCGTCACCACGTGTCCGCTGCGTGTTTCGCTCCTTCGTTCCCTGAAGGCCGTTCTCCATATAGGCTCAGCTCGCCACGTAGTATATTTGCAGTGCACGTGGCTTCGCTGCCCCCCTCATTCGCCGCTTACAGCGACTGACGAGGCGGGAGTGCTCGTGATGCGGCTCCTAGTGCCCCTCCTGCTCGCACATTACCCCCCACTTCCCAAATTACTATCACTCCCCATCCCCCCTCCCTCCACACTCCTCCCCTCCCCCTCCGCTCCTCACTCCTCTTCGCCCTTGTCCCTGTTCTCAGGCTCCCTGCGCGATCTTCAGCGGCTGATGCGGCGGGACCACCCCGTGTCGCGAGACGTGCTCGTGCAGCTGGGTCGGTGGGACATTGTTCGCACGGACCTCGTTCCCATCATCTGCCGATACCGCCGCGACTCCGCGCTGCTCCTTAACGCCGGTAAGCGTACACTTTAATAAGTGAGTCAGTCCGTTTCCAGTCAACATGCAAGTCCACTGGGTGGGTCGGTGGGACATCGTTCGAACGGACCTCGTTCCCATCATCTGCCAATACCGCCACGACTCCGCGCTACTCCTTGCAAGCGCCACCTCCCCATTCCCCGACTTTCCCCACGTCCCCACCCCTTCTCCCTTACCAATCCCTCTCACCCTCCCCCCCCAAACCAACAGTGAAGCTGCTGGTGTTCCTCACCATGCCGTCGCCTCCCCCGCCGCCTGATCTCAACGCGACAGGGCGACAGCAGAGGTTGAGGCCGGAACACCACGAGTGTCATGCCATGATGGCTGTAAATGCATTACATCCCTATTCGTCCCTTCCCCTCCAAACCAACAGTGAAGCTGCTCGTGTTCCTCACCATGCCATCGCCGCCGCCACCGCCTGATCTGGATGCGGCGGGGCGGCAGCAGCAGCAGAAGCTGAGGCTGGAGCACCACCACTGCCAGAGGCGCTTCAAGAGCGCGCTGCTGCACGGAACCGGCGCTGCAACGAGTGGGCTTATACCGAGAAATGGTGGCGCTGGTGCTGGTGGTGGTGGCGGTGGTGGGAGTGGTTATGTGGGGAGTGGGGAGAGCGATGCGATCGCGATTGTGCTTCAGTTGCTCGTCGATCCGCTTAAGAATATCCAAAGGTAGAGTGAGGATACAGAAATACCATTGATAAAAAAGAGTGCTGATGGGAGAGTGTGTTGTCATACAAGGCTCTCCCCGACCCCCTACTCCCCACCCTCTCGCTCCTCCCCACCCATCCGCACCTCCTCCTCCCTCCCTTTGCGTGCTTCATGTTCTTGTTTTCCTCCCCATGCCCCGAATACACGTACCTCTTCCCCTGACTTGATTTGTTATCACTTCGTAATGCAGTTTGATCATGTCTTTCCACTAGTTTATTGATTGATTGCCCTTTCCACTCACACACCCCCTCCAACGTTTGCCTTCCCCCATCCATCCCCCGCCTCTGCTATGCAGTGGGCGTGGCAGCAGCGACGACTGGCGGCTGGTACAGATGATAGTCACTCTGGTTCGGAACCTCCTTGCCATCCCCGACCCTCCGCCGGACGTATCCTCAGCCTCGGCATGGGCGCATCTGTGCTTCCTTCAGGTAGGCTCGGCAACCTGCCGTCAAGCAGGCTCGGTGAACGTGCTGACAAATAGGCTCGGGAGGCACACAACCCGCACCCCCTCTCCCCACTCCCAGGACGATCTTATTCGCTCTCTCTTTCGCAGTGGCCTCCCCAACGTCCTCCTCTTCCTCATCTCCTGCATCGCTTACCTCGAATCATGAGACGATTTTTTTTAGGCGCCTAAAAAGTCCTCATCCTCATCTCCTGCTTCGATTACCCCGAAACCTCCCTCACTCGTCCCTCTCCCCACTACCCGCCCCACTCTAGCCCCATCTCCCCCTCTCTCCATTTCTTTTCTCTCAGGACGATCTCATTCGCTCTCTCTTTCGCAGCGGCTTCCCAGACATCCTTCCCTTCCTCATCTCCTGCCTCGACGCCCCCAAAACCGCCCCATCATTCTGCCCCCTTCCCCCACCCACACCCCTTCTTTACCCACAGGACGATCTCATTCGCTCTCTCTTCCGCAGTGGCTTCCCAGACATTCTCCTCTTCCTCGTCTCCTGCCTCGACTCCCCCGAAACCGCCCCATCATTCTACCCCGCTCCTCCCCCTCCCCCCCGCCCACGCCCCCTTCCCCCATGCCCATTCCACACCCCTTCTTTACCCACTGGACGATCTCATTCGCTCTCTCTCTTCCGCAGTGGCTTCCCAGACATCCTCCTTTTCCCGAAATCGCCCCACTCGTCCTTCTCCCCACTGTCCCCCCCACTCTGCCCACCCCATCCTACCTCCCCACCCGTCCCCCCCTCCTATCAGGACGATCTTATTCGCTCTCTCTTCCGCAGCGGCTTCCCAGACATCCTTCTTTTCCTCATCTCCTGCCTCGACGCCCCCGAAACCGCCCCAGCTCTTCGCCACGACAACCTCTTGTTCCTAGAGATTCTTAATCTCCTATTTCGCGAATTTCCTCCTAAGGACGCGGCTGTAGCGGCGTTCAGGGCTGTCGGGGAGGCTGATGCCGAGGCTGACGCGAGGGAGGACCGAGAGGCTGCCGAACGTCTGGCGGAGGCTCGGCGGCGGGAGAAGGAGCGGGCGGCTCGGAAGGCGCTGGCCCAGAAGATCACGCAGCGGCACTCCCGGTTCGGCGGGCTCTATGTGGTTCGGAATGCGGTGAGTGTTGGCTGGTCTGAAATGTCGTTGATTTTTTTTCTTATCTATTTTTTCAGTCCGCCCTCCTCTCCTCACCTGTTCACCATCACACCTTTACACCCTCTTCAGCCAAGCCACGCTCCAGTCGTCCCTCACCCCTTCTGAGACGTCTCAAAACTCCCCACCTGAGACATCTCAAAACTCCCCACCTGAGACATCTCAAAACTCCCCACCTGTTCACACAACCTTTCCACCCTCTTCAGCCAAGCCACGCTCCAGCCGTCCCTCACCGCACTCAATCCTACTCCCTCCCTCCCTCCATCCTTTCCTCCCAGGACAAGTCAAGAACAGTCTCTAGCACTCCCTTCTCCCCGCCTGTCCACCATGCCATCTTCAGCCAAGTCAGGCGGGGACCTGTGCGGAGAGTGATGGGGGGGACGGGCATGGGAGGAATGGGCATGGGCATGGGCATGGGCATGGGCGTAGGGGGAATAGGAATGGGCGGAACATGCATCGGAATGGGGTTGGATGCTGGTTTGAACGGCGATGGGGGTGGTGGCAACGGTGGTGATGCGAGGAAACCGGATGCCGACGTGGATGCTGCCCTGGGATTGGTCGGTGGAGTGCGGGCCAATAGGAGGAGCTCCAGGTGGACGGCGAGGCGCCTCGGGGTGTTTGCCGATCGGTTGCTGGCTTCGGGATGTTACAATGGTAAGTGTGACAATAGAGAGCGTTACAATGGTAAGTGTGACAATAGAGAGCGTTACAATGGTGAGTGTTACAATGGTGAGTTGATTGATCAATGTTTATAGTGAGTGTTCCAATAACTAGTGCTATTACAGCAAGTGTCACAGTCATCAGTATGATCCCTTTGGCCCTCCCATTCCCCATCCTCCCACCTCCCTCCAGTACGCATGAAGACGGTGCGTCGGGACGTGGCGGCCTGGCGGGCAGGACTAGAGCCCTCGGACACCCTCGCCTTCTTACCCTTTTGAGAGGTCTCAAAAGCCTTCTTACCCTTGGGTTGATTCGTTACTCACCCTTCCTTCCCCATTCCCCCCTCCGCCCTTACCCACTCTTCCTCCCCCGCCCTCCAGTGCTCATGGAGACGGTTCGTCGCGACATGGCGGCCTGGCGGGCGGGACTACTAGAGCCCTCGGACACGCTCGCCTTCTTCCTTTCTTCCTTTTGGCTCCATTCAATACTCACGCTTCCACCCCCCGTTTTTTCCCCCTCTCCCTCCAGTTCTCATGGAGACGGTTCGTCGGGACGTGGCGGCCTGGCGGGCAGGGCTAGAGCCCTCGGACACTCTCGCATTCTTCCTCGTGGCTTCCTTCTTCACTGCGTTTCAACGGGAGATGCATGGCCTGCGGGGCTGGGGGGGGGTGGCCGGGGGAAAGGAGGGGGTTGCCGGGGGGAAGGCAGGGGGAGCAGGAGAGGAAGCAGGAGCAAAGGAGGCGGAAGCAGGGGGACAAGGAGGAGGAGGAGGAGAAGGAGGAGGAGGAGGAGGAGGAGGAGGAGGAGGAGGAGGAGGAGGAGGAGGAGGAGGAGGAGGAGGAGGAGGAGGAGGAGGAGGAGGAGGAGGAGGAGGAGGAGGAGGAGGAAAGGAAAAACAGGAAGAAGGGGAAAGAGCAGGAACAGAGGAAGCTTCTGGGAAGGTGGAGCAGCGAGGAGTGTGTGGTTGTGGGCCAATAGCGGCCACGATGGATGATGACATGTTCACTCTTGTTTCTGCCCGCTGGGCAGAGTATGCTGCCCGGGCCAATCACGAGCGGGCAGCGCTGGTTGCGGCGGGCAGCCTGCTGAAAGAAATGGTGAGCATCTTGAATCGAGCACCCCCTCCCTACCCTTTCTTGATTTCCCCTTGGGTTGCTTGTTTTCGCTTCTTTTGTTGGCGCCTTCTGATTTTTTTTTTAATGCCCCTCCTCCCTCCCCCCACCCACCCTGTTTCTACCCCACAGATTCACATGCTCGATGCCATAATCAAATCTGGAGAGAAGCCCAACCCTACAACAACAGGCTCGGCCGAACCTCTCCACGAGGTTTGGCCAGAGGTCCGGAGGGAGGTTCGGCGGGAGGTCCGGCTGGCACGGGCCGTGCTGCTACGGCTGTTCTACGACGATTCGAGCGATGGTGTGGTGCATGTGCTGCAGCGGGTGCTGAAGGGGTTTAACCCCCACACGCAGCCGCGCCGCTTGCTGGTTGATGCAGTGGAAACCACCCACGTGTGCCTGAGACTGCTGGAAGACTTGGTCCGAACAGAAGGGGCACTCAAGGTGAGCTGAAATGCGAGGGTGCATGTGCTGCAGCGGGTGCTGAAGGGGTTTAACCTGCTCCTTCCTGGTGACAGCTGTTGAAACCACCCACGCCACGTTTATTTTGATGCGCCTCAAAATACTCCTCACTACAAGCGGGTGCTGAAGGGGTTTAACCTGCTGCTTGCTGGTGACAGCTGTTGAAACCACCCACGCCACGCTTGCCTGAGGGAGATTCGACAGTGATAGTTTCCCTGTCTTTGTTCCCTTGAACTTGGCCAATGCAGGTGGTGAGAAAGAGTCGACAGCGGAAGGACAAGGCAGGGAAGGCAAAGGGGAAGGGGAAGAATGCAGACGTGGGAGCGGAGCGGGGTCAGGAGGGAGAGCAGGGAGGAGAGCAGCGGGGTGAGCAGGAGGGAGAGCACGGAGGAGAGCAGCGTTTTGACTCGACTCAAAACTCGACTCATTTCACGCAGAGTGCAGACGTGGGAGCGGAGGGGGTTCAGGAGGGAGAGCAGGGGAATGAGCAGGAGAAGGCCCAGGAGGGAAATCAGGAAGGGGAAAAAGCTGCCGCTGCAGATGCTGATGGTGCTGCGGGTGCTGATGGTGGTAATAATGCTGCTGCTACTAATGTTGGAGGTGGGGTTGGTGATGCTGCTGGTGCTGCTGATGGTGGTAGTGACAATAATACTGCACCTGATGCTCCAGAAAAAAGGGGTGAAGGGCGTCAACGGGGAGAAAAGGAAGGGCAGGAGGGGGGAACAGAACAGTGGGAAGGTAACGGTGGCAGTTCTGCTGATGCTGCTGCTGCTGCTGGTGGTGGTACTGGTACTGCTGCTGCTGCTGGCGCTGCTGCTGCTGCTGCTGCTGCTGCTGCTGCTGCTGCTGCTGCTGCTGCTGCTGCTGCTGCTGCTGCTGATCCTGGTGCTGAAGATGCTGAAGATGAAGAGGCAGCAGCAGACGGAGAAGGCCTGGAAGATTCCGATCCAGGCTCGGACCTAGCCTCGGATGCAGGCTCGGACATAGGCTCGGATGCCGAGCCTGGGGACGGCATAGAGGAGGCGGAGGAGGAGGGTCGGCGGGGGAGGGAGGAGGTTCGGGAGTATGAACTGGACGTGAAGCGCACTATAAGGGGGTTTGCTGACGTGCACGCGGTTAAGAACTGTGTTTGGCTGCTGGAAACGGCCAATAGCAACGCGCCACGTGTCAACCACTATGTGCTGTCGCTGCTCAGGAGGTTCACTGTGGGGTGCGATGCTGAGGCCATGCTGTTCCAGGTGGGTCTCAGGTGATTTGTCAGGTGATTTCTTAGGTGATTTCTCAGGACCTTCCTCACGGTGCGTCTTCAGGTGCTTTCTCAGGCCTCCTCAGGTGTATTTCAGGTGTATTCCAGGTCTGAACCCTTACACCCTGCACCCTGACAAGTCCCCCATCTTCCCTCTACCCCCATCCGCCCTCTCCCCCCATCCCCCCTCCCTCCAGGTATCAACCCTACACACCTTCAACAAGCTCCTCACCAACCCAGACCCCCGCTCCTCCCCTCTGCACACGCCCCTGTTTTCAGGTCACTTGAAATAACGCTCCCATGCACTTTCCCCCCATCTCCCTTCCCATCCCCCTCCCTCCAGGTGTCAACCCTGCACACCTTCTACAAGCTCCTAACCAACCCCGACCTCCGCTCCTCCCCTCTGCACGCACCCCTGTTTCTAGGTCACCTAAAGCACACTCCCCTGCCCTTTCCCCTGTCTCCCTTCCCCCCACCCCCCCTCTCCCCCCAGGTCTCAACCCTACACACCTTTTACAAGCTCCTAACAAACCCCGACCTCCGCTCCTCCCCTCTGCGCGCACCCCTGTTTCTAGGTCACCTAAAGAACGCTAGTCTGCCCTTTTCCCCATCTCCCTTTCTCCCTATCCCCAAATCCCTCCCTCCCCCCAGGTCTCAACCCTACACACCTTTTACAAGCTTCTCACCAACCCAGACCTCCGCTCCTCCCCCCTGCACGCGCCCCTCCTCTCGTTCCTCTCCTCTACTGTCCGCCACCTCTCCGCCCTCCTCCCCCTCCGCCCCTCCCTCTTTTTCCCTTTCCTTCCCCCTTCATGCTCCCCTGTTGTTGAGGCGTCTCAAGATTAGTCCTCTACCCTTTCTCCCGTTTCCTCTGCCCCCACTGACCCCCCTCCCCCCAGGTCTCAACCCTACACACCTTATACAAGCTCCTAACCAACCCCGACCTCCGCTCCTCCCCTCTGCACGCACCCCTGTTTCTAGGTCACCTAAAGCACACTCCGCTGCCCTTTCCCCTATCTCCCTTCCCCCCACCTCCCCCCTCCCCCCAGGTCTCAACCCTACACACATTCTACAAGCTCCTAACCAACCCAGACCTGCGCTCCTCCCCCCTGCACGCACCTCTAGGTCATCTAACGAACGCTCCCCTTCCCCTTCTCCCCCCCTCCTCACCAGGTATCAACCCTACACACATTCTACAAGCTCCTAACCAACCCAGACCTGCACTCCTCCCCCCTGCACGCACCTCTAGGTCATCTAACGAACGCTCCCCTTCCCCTTCTCCCCCCCTCCTCACCAGGTATCAACCCTACACACATTCTACAAGCTCCTAACCAACCCAGACCTGCGCTCCTCCCCTCTGCACGCGCCCCTCCTGACCTTCCTCTCCTCCACCGTCCGCCACCTCTCTGCCCTCCTCCCCCTGCGCCCCTCCCTCTTCCTCCGCCTCCTCTTCCACAAATCGCGGAAAGAAAGCATGGTTCTCGCTGCTGACGTGGCACTGGGGGAGCTTAGGTCGGGGGGGTGGGTGGGCGGGAGAGCGGGAGGCGGGGATGGGGAAGAGGGATGGGAGGCGGCGAGTGGGGGGAAAGGGAGGCGGAGAGGGAGTGGGGGAGGAGGAAAGGGGGGAGAAAAGGGGGGACGGGAGAATGTAAGGATTGGGGGGTTGAGGGATGCGTTGGGGGATGATGAAGCAGATGTGGAGTTGCCTCGAGGCATGTGGTGGGCTGCTGATGTTGCTGATGCTGCTGCTGCTGCTGCTGCTGCTGCTGCTGCTGCTGCTGCTGCTGGCAAGAGGTGAGAGAAGGGGCGACAGAAACGGAGTTTTTTTCGGTAATATGCAAGAAGGTGGGAGTGTTGAGGAGAGGGGGGTTGAGAGACGCGTTGGAGGATGATGAAGCAGACGTGGAGCTGCCTCGAGGCATGTGGTGGGCCGCTGATGTTGCTGATGATGCTGCTGCTGCTGCTGCTGGCAAGTGGTGAGAGAAGGGGCGACAGTAACAGGTTTTTTCTTCTGGTAATATGCAAGAAGGTGGGAGTGTTGAAGAGTGGGGGGTTGAGAGATGTGTTGGGGGATTATGGGGCTGCTGCGATAAGTCGAGTTTTGAGTCGACTCAAAACTCGACTTATCACAGATGTGTTGCAGGATTGTGGGGCAGATGTGGGGGGCGCCTGATGCTGCCGCTGGCAAGAGGTGAGAGAAGGGGCGACAGTAGCAGAACTTTCTCCGGTAATATACAAGAAGGTGAGAGTGTTGAAGAGTGGGAGGCGCCTGATACTACTGCTGGCAAGAGGTGAGATAAGAGGGGGTACGCATGTTAGAACAGAGCAAGTAAAAGTGTAAGGCCCTTCGTTTTGAAACGACATTGGGGCATTCCTGCTTCCTACTCACTCCAGCACCACCTCGTCCTCCCCATCTTCCTCTCCGTTCACTTTTGAGGCGCCTCAAAAGTACTTCCTACTCACTCCAGCACCACCTCGTCCTCCCCATCTTCCTCTCCGTTCACTTTTGAGGCGCCTCAAAAGTACTTCCTACTCACTCCAGCACCACCTCGTCCTCCCCATCTTCCTCTCCGTTCACTTTTGAGGCGCCTCAAAAGTACTTCCTACTCACTCCAGCACCACCTCGTCCTCCCCATCTTCCTCTCCGTTCACTTTTGAGGCGCCTCAAAAGTACTTCCTACTCACTCCAGCACCACCTTTTCCTCCCCATCTTCCTCTCCGTCCACTTTTGAGGCGCCTCAAAAGTACTTCCTACTCACTCCAGCACCACCTCGTCCTCCCCATCTTCCTCTCCGTTCACTTTTGAGGCGCCTCAAAAGTACTTCCTACTCACTCCAGCACCACCTTTTCCCATCTTCCTCTCCGTGTCCCTGCCCTCCCCATCTTCCTCTCCGTGTCCCTGCCCTCCCCATCTTCCTCTCCGTGTCCCTGCCCTCCCCATCTTCCTCTCCGTGTCCCTGCCCTCCCCATCTTCCTCTCCGTTCACTCTAATAGTGGCAAGGGCAGGGACACGGCGCGAGCGACTTTAGAGTCAACCTCCTCTTTCTCTCCACCTTGCTTTCCACCTCTCGAAACCACTTGCTTTTCCACCTCCCCGTTCACTCTAATGCTTGGCAGCAAGGGAAGGGGCAGGGCACGAGCGTTTTCAGAAGACCAGGAGAGGAGGATACGAGAGCTTTTCGAGAGGTAAGAATGGAACTATGGGCGAGGGCCTTTCTAAGAGCGGCAGGAAAGGTACGAGAGTGATCCTGGTCTTTGGGCGCCTCAATAATCAAATCAAACAAAAGTTAGTCTTAAACGCAGGTATGAGAGAGGAAGAACAGGTATGGCAGGTGTGGAGGAGCAATCTGGTTATTAAAGTGTACGGGTGACATGAAATTCAGTGATAGCAAAGATGACGACTATTGAGTCGACTCAAAAGTCATCTTTGTTAAAATGTACGTGTGACATGAACTTTGGTGATAGCAAAGGCTCTAATTGCACATGACCCCAGCGTGCTTTTTTGAGAATTCTCAAAAACACTCGCTGCAAAGGCTCTAATTGCACATGACCCCAGCGTGCTTCCTCCCACGGGCCTTCCTCCTCCACTCCTCATTACCCCCTTCCGCCCCTCATCGTCCCCCTCTGTCTCCCTTACCTTTCCGCACTTCCTTCCTGCCCTCTCCCCCTTCTCTTGCCCGGATCAGCCACAAGACAATGCTGGAGGTGCCATCACTAATAGCAAAGGCTCTGATTGCACACGAATCCCAGCCTGATTCCTCCAACTGACCTTCCTCCCCCTCCTCCTTCCCGCCTCTCCCCCACTCCATCAGCCACAAGACAAGGCGGGAGGGAGGTGCCATCACTGATAGCAAAGGCTCTGATCGCACACAAATCCCAGCGTGTTTCCACGTGAAGCGAGATTGTTTTTGAGACGTCTCAAAAACAGCCCGGCACTTCAGCCTGCTTGCACACCTTACCCTTACACACCTTACCCTTACACACCTTACCCTTACACACCTTACCCTTACACACCTTACCCTTACACACCTTACCCTTACACACCTTACCCTGTGACGTCTCAAAAACAACCTTGCTTCACGTGGCTTTCCTTCCACACGCTTTCCACTTCCCCTCATCGGCCCCCTTCCTTCCCTCCACGCCCCCTGTCCTCTCCCCACCTTCTCCCGTCTCTCTCATCAGCCACAAGTCAAGGCGAGATATGCCATCACTGATAGCAAAGGCTCTCATCGCCCATGACCCCAGCCTTCTTCATTCCACCCGCCGTAAAAAACCAGGGAAGGAAGGGGAACCTAGGGAAGGCGGGGAAGAGAGAGAAGAGGGGGAAGAGGGGGAAGAGGGGGAAGTGGAGGAAGGGGAGGACGTTGGAGAGGAGGGGGCAGCTGGGGAGAAAAGGGGTGCTCCTCAAAGCGACCCTACAGCTGCTGTTGATGCGGACTCGATAAAAGCTGACTCGATAAGAGCACTTGCGGGGAAAGTCAGCCGGTTTTTGCGGTCGCAGGGGCTGAAGAGGAGCAAGGCGGAAACGACAGTGGGGGGAGGGGAATTAAGGGGTGGTGATGGTGATGATGGTGATGGTGCTGGTGGCGATGGTGGTGGCGATGGTGGTGGCGAGGGTGGTGGTATGGCAGGGGGCAGGAAAGGCAAGGCTGGGAAAGGAAAGCTTGGGGAGAGACGGACTGGCAGATCACGTGTGAGTGTGGGGAAGAAGGGAAAGAGGAGGCATCTGGTGTTCGACAGTGATTCTGAGGACGGGGATGCTGGGAGAGAGGTGAGTGAGGGAGCGAGTGAGGGAGGGAGTGAGGGAGAGAGTGAGGTGGAGGAAGAAATTGGTTTTGAGGAGATGGAGGGAGGGGAGATGGGGTGGGGGGCTGGGGAGGAGGGCGAAAGGAAGGAGGGAGAGAGGAAAGAAGGAGGTGCAGAGGGAGAGGGAGGTGTGGAGATCGGTGGAGAAGGAGAGGAGCTTAGGGGAGAAGAGGGGGGAAAAGGCGTGGGGTTGAAAACGGGGTTGAAGGCAAAAGGGGCGAGGAACACACAGAGGCGCGGCAGTCTCCCATTCACAGAGGAGGATGATGCAATGATCAAGAGTCTATACAGTGATGCTACAGGGGTTCAGGTGGGGTATAGCAGTTGCAGCAACAGCAGCGGCAGCAGGAGTAAGGGCAGGAGAGGCAAGGGTGCTGTTGCGAAAGAGGTTGCTAAGGCTATGGGAGGGAAGTTTTCGGTTGCCCGGGTTGCCCAGAGGATTCAGTTTCTTGGGCTGCCCGAGGAGGATGGAACGGGCAGGAAGAGGAGTGAGAGGAGGAGACGAGGGAGTGGGAGTGGGTTTGATGAGATTCTGAGGGGAGTGGGTGAAGGAGAGGAAGGAGATGAGAGAGAGGAGGGAGAGGAGAGAAAGAAGGAAGACGGAGAGACAGAGGAGGAAGAGGTAGGAGAGAAAGCAGTGGAAGGTGAGGAAGGAGAGGAGGGTCTCGAGGAGGATGAAAGGGAGGAGGCGGAGAGTAGTGAGGATGAGGATCATGTGCTGCTGAGCAGAAGACAGAGGGTTCTGGCTGGTTTCGCTTCTGCTGCAGCAGCCACAGCTAGAGGAAGGCGAGGTGGAAGGACTGACAAGACCTCTCAAGAGGAGGCAGAGAGTACCGAGGATGAGGAGAATGTGCTGCTGAGCAGAAGACAGAGGGCGCTAGCTGCTGCTGCTAAAGTGAGGCGAGGGCAGAGGAGTGACAGGAGGCAGAGGGGAGGAGGAGCAGCAAGAGGAGGAGAGATGCGAAGGGAGGAGGAGGCCCAGGAAGAGGAATGGACTACAGGCAGCCATGCTGCTGGTGGGGATGGTGCAATGAATTTGGAGGGAGACCGAGGGGCAATCGTTGTTCCAAACAGCACTGCTATTGCTGCAGTGCCTATAACATGGAGTGCTCTTTTCGGAGGTGCTTCTATTGCAAGTGCTGCTGTGGGAGTGGAGGAGAGGGTGGAGTTGAAGGGTGAAGCCGTGCGGGAGGGCGTTCAAGCAGTGCTTGCTGATGGTAAGAGCTCTTATCCCCTCTCCCGTCTCCATTGCCTTGTGAGATGCGTCTATGGGACTGGAAGGGGAAGTGGAGTTGAAAGAGGAAGCCGTGCGGGAGGGCGTTCAAGCAGTGCTTGCTGATGGTAATTGCCTCGCCCCGCTCCTTCTTCCGTTGCTTTCTTATCTTCCTCAAAGCCCTCTCCCTTCCCACTTCTCGCCTTCCCTCTTCCATGGTTCCTCTTGACTGCTTCTGTATACCCATCTTTCAATGTCCGTTTTTACGATACAAATCTCATCTCTACTCTTCTCTGTCCTCCCCCGTACCTGCCAATCTTTTTTCCTCCCCCATTCCCCCCCATCCCCCCAACCCCATTCCTCCCTTCTTCTTACAGATTCCTTTGATGGAGCAGAGGCGATCCAATGGCTGCAATCGCGCCTGAAAGCAGCCCACGCCAGCTGGACGGACGCGATCGCTCGAAACAGCTGGCAGCTCCTGCTGATGGACGGCCCAGATTGGCCTGGCAGGAAGGGGAAGAAAAAAGGGGGGAAGGGGAAGGAGAAGGGGAAGAAGGGGAAGAGGAGGAGAGGGCAGGAGGAGGAGGACGAAGAGGAGGAAGGGGAGGGAGGAGAGGAGGAGGGGGATGGGGGGTGGGGGGAAGTTGTGCATGTAGACTTTCCGTTGGTGGAGGAACTGGAAGATTGGGACACAGTGGCGAATGACAGCATGGCGCAGCTACTCTCAGGTGTGTTGTCTGTTGCTCTCAGGTGCTCTCAGGTGCTTTTTGTCTGTTGCTCTCAGGTGTGCCCTCTGGTGCTTTTTGTCTGTTGCTGTCAGGTGTGCTCTCAGTTGCTTTTTGTCTGTTGCTCTCAGGTGTGCTCTCAGGTGCTTTTTGTCTGTTGCTCTCAGGTGTGCTCTCAGGTGCTTTTTGTCTGTTGCTCTCAGGTGTGGCTCACACAACACTCAATGACCTTCCTCTCTCCCCTTCCCTTCACCTCCCATCCGTTTCTGCTTCTTTTCTGCCCACCCAACAGCGCTGTTCTTGAAGCACCCTGACGAGGCTGATGCTTGCTGGAGAGACCCCGCGGACCACTGCACCCAGTGGCTGCTGCATGCTGTGAGCATGCTTGCATCACTCACTCGCCTTCCCTCTCTCTCCCTCGACTTCCCTTCCACGCCTTCCAAACAGCGCTGTGTTTGAAGCACCCTGACGAGGCTGATGGCTGCTGGAGGGTCCCTGGGGACCGGGGCACCCAGTGGCTGCTGCACGCTGTGAGCATGCTCGCACGCATGGTGGAGGGTGGAAGCTCATGCATGGATGGTGGGGGGGGGATGCAGATAGTTGTTGTGGAGGAGAGAGGGGGAAGAGGGGAGGGGAGAAAGGAAGGGGAGGGGAGTGAGGGAAGGGAGGATAGAGAGGGAGAAGGGGTGAGAAAAGGAGGGGAGGAGAGAGGAGGAGACGAAGGAGTGGGGGAAGAGGAGGATAGAGAGGGAGGAGGGAAAGATAGAGAGGGAAGAGAGGAAGGAGAGGGAGGACGGGAGGATCTAGAGGGAGAAGGGGGAGTTATTAGGGCGTGTTTAGGTCCCAGGCACAAAAAGCGGAGAGCGGAAGGAGAGACAGGCGAGGTGCAACAGCCAGGGTTGAACAGCCATGGGGGTAGTGAGGGAGAGGGGGATGAGTGTGGAGGAGGGGGAGCAGAGAGAGAGAGCGACGAGTCTGGAGGGGAGAAAGAGAGACAGCAGGGGAGGATGGGGGATGATGAATTCAGTGGGTATGAGGGGGAAGGGATTTTCTTGACAGCTCGAGTGAAAGATACAGGAGAGGGTGTGAGGGGGAGGGTCGAACAGAGCATGCCCTTGGAGGAGAGGGGCTGTGAGGAAAGTGGTAAGAGGGATGATCAGGTTGGAGGTGGAGAGCTGGCAGAATGCGAGAGAAGAGATGATCAAGCGGGGGAAAGAGTTGAAGACGATGTGAGTAGAGAGACGCATGCTATCTCCATGGAGAGAATTGAAGGTGTTTCCAGTGGAGGAGAGGTGCTACCACCCTTAATGCCTGCAGTGCTCGGTGCACGATCCAAACGACCTGCTTCTTTCACTGGTGGAGTCTCGGACCGAGCCAAGAGGCTGAGGCTTGATGGTTCGGATGCGGAGGAGGCTGCGGAGGATCGCTAAGCTTTACAGCCTTACATACCTAGAAAGATTTTAGACGGGGCAGATAGACAGGCAGGCAGGAGTACTGAAATTTCGTACGGAACTTAGTATGTTACGGCAGGACACTTGTGTGTCACTTACCGTAAACCTACGTATTGTGCATTAAATAAGAGCAACATCCACTAAGAAGCCCTTGAAGACCCAGTGTGCGGTATTGTACTCAAAACTGTCGTTCATTCAGTCAGTGCTTTTGCGTGTCATATTTCAGACAACAATGAGAAATTTGAGCCATTACATGCATCCATTTTGACCTAGAAGCCTACTGAACAAAGAGAAATACCCGAAGTTCCACTTAAAAAATACATCTTTGCTATGAGAAAGGAAACAGGTGTTCTACCGCTTAGAAGGATCATCCGGTTCAAGCCTCTTTTGAATGGCAGCAGCTCCCTGAAAGGCAAGTGCAGGCAAGCAAGACACACAGCAAGCAGCAGAATTCCACAGCAAATCACATAATGAGCAGAAGGAGCATACGGAGCACAGATTGATCTTCGGGGCACCTAAAAAGCACACAGCAAGTTGCTTGATACTGTACGCACAGGAGGACAGGCAAAGGATAGTGTCTGTGCAGAAAACAATAGAGGGTTTGCGTGCGGCGGACAGGCAATGGTCACACCGATGAAGAAATCTTTAGAGCGAAACAAGGAGGCAGACAGGCGAGGAAGAAAGGTGTTACCATAAGGTACCATAAGAGAACCAGCTGAGATGCTTAGGATGTTGGGCGGGAATGACAATATTCAGGAGCAAATGAACCACTATATCACAAAAGCGTTAGAAGAGCAGGAGCAAAACCACAAAGGTGACTGAACCACTACCAATCTGATAGAGGAAGCGCAGCTCCTCCTTGAGTCGCTTTTGAGTCAACCAAGAAAGTGACTGAACCACTACCACCAGTGTAACAAGAGCAGGAGTAAGGTTCACCTCGTAGTTGCCAATCTGATAGAGGAAGCGCAGCTCCTCCTTGAGTCGCTCCTGGTCTCTCATTGCTTGAGCCTGGTAATAAGCAAGGAGAGCATTGGACGGGAGTGCAAGCGGCACAGAAACGGCACGGTGTGAATGGAATGGAAGGGCATGGAACAGCATGCCACAGCGCAGCTCCTCCTTGAGTCGCTCCTGGTCTCTCATTGCTTGCGCCTGGGAATCAATCAGGAGAAAGGCAGAAATAAAACAAGAAATGCACGGGGCAAAACGTGAGGAGGCAGCATGAACAAATGCATATGATGCATCATGCAGCCGTGCAGCCATACGGCCATGCAGCCATACGGCCACACCGCCATGAACCCATGCAAACAGCATAAACCAGAACATCCTTCTGTTCGACCGATCTTTGCTCTGTATTTGGTGGGGAAAATTTTTGAGGCGCCTCAAAAAGCATAAACCAGAACCTCCTTCTGTTCGCCGGATCTTTGCTCTGTATCTGGTGGGGAAAATTTTTGAGGCGCCTCAAAAAGCATAAACCAGAACCTCCTTCTGTTCGCCAGATCTTTGCTCTGTATCTGGTGGGGACAAGCCCACCATCTCCACAGTCACTGCGGCACAGTCGCTCACTGTATCTGGTAGAACCACTCCACCCTCCACCCCTCTTTCTCTTTTGAGGCGCCTCAAAAGCCCACCCACCACCCCAACCCCCTAGAACCACTCCACCCTCCACCCCTCTTTCTCTTTTGAGGCGCCTCAAAAGCCCACCCACCGCCCCAACCCCCTAGAACCACTCCACCCTCCACCCCTCTTTCTCTTTTGAGGCGCCTCAAAAGCCCACCCACCGCCCCAACCCCCTAGAACCACTCCACCCTCCACCCCTCTTTCTCTTTTGAGGCGCCTCAAAAGCCCACCCACCGCCCCAACCCCCTAGAACCACTCCACCCTCCACCCCTCTTTCTCTTTTGAGGCGCCTCAAAAGCCCACCCACCGCCCCAACCCCCTAGAACCACTCCACCCTCCACCCCTCTTTCTCACCATGCCCGACTTCATGCTTCGCTTGAGCGCCAGCACCTCCTCCTCCTTCTGCTCGATCTTCCCAACCCCCGCAACCACCGCCGCAACCCCCCCACAACCCGCCCACAACCCGCCCACAACCCATTCCAACCCCCCAGAACCCATCCCAGCCCGCCCACAACCCTTCCCAACCCCCAAAACCGTTTCTGTGTCTCGTCTCACCATGCCCGACTCCATGCTGCGCTTGAACGCCAGCACCTCCTCCTCCTTCTGCTATGGGACATACACAACCAACGCATACCCCCCACAGCCCCTCTCGACCCCCTAAAACCCCCCACAACCCCCCCACAACCCCCCACAACCGCTCCAAGCCCCCCAGAACCCCTCATTCTTACCATGCCCGACTCCATGCTGCGCTTGAGCGCCAGCACCTCCTCCTCCTTCTGCTTCTCCCTCGCCCGGCGAATCTCCTCCCTGCCATGCAAGGCAAGGCAAGGCGAGGGGAGAAATGTCAAGTTTCATATGCAGGGACAGCAGCACAGGAAGGTTGACAGCGGAGAATCAGGTGAGCGTAAAGGCAGGGTTAATAGAGTCAACAAGTCAACGCAGTCAAGACTGTCAACGAGTCAGCAAGTCAACACAGGCAACAAGTCAGCAAGTCAACACAGGCAACGAGCCAGTAAGTCAACACACAGTCAGTGCAGAGCCCACGACCACCTCTCACCTCCTCACATCTTCATCATTGAACTCTGTGATCTCCTTTCCAAAATCCTTGTCAGATTTGAAGTCGCCCCTAATTAGACGAGTTGGCGCCTCATTGTAACAAGTCAGGGCAAACCCTGATACCACCTCTCACCTCCTCGCATCTTCATCATTAAACTCTGTCATCTCCTTTCCAGAAGGCTTATCCGGCCGTCCCTTCCTCTTCGTCATCTGCTGATGCTCCCACGCTGCTAAGTTGTAGTACCTGACAGAAGCAGGTGTGTTGAGAGGCAGGAAGGGACGCAGGACAGTACTTGAGCCAACTCAAAGGTGGCGACTAGAAAATGCCACCAGGTTGCTGCAGAAACTGGCAGAAGCACAGACATTAAAGGCGGATGGGAAGGAAGGCACGGGGACAGGGTGCACGGGGGGGAAAGTGGGGGGCAGTGGGGCAGCTGGGCAGTTGTACCCTGATTCCGCTTGCACAACAAAGTTCCGCAGCGTTCTGTCGTGTTGTAAAAGACTCGTTACAGAGGGACTCACTTCTTGGATGGGAACGTGGCAGTGTTGTGATCCTCCATGAACTCCTTGAATAGGTTTTTCTCCTCAAATCCGCTCAATTGCTCCAAATTTGCCTGCAGCAAGACACACACACACACACACACACACACACACACACACACACACACACACACACACAAACACACACACACACACACACACAAACACACACACACACACACACACACACACACAAACACACACACCCGCGGGCGCGCCAACACACGCACAGACACACACACACGCACGCACGCACACAAAAACATGTAAGTGAAAGGAGGCGGAGACCTGACCAGGGAACACGGTGTACAGCGAGCGGGGACAGAGGGGGGGCATGAGCATGGAAGACTCAGGTCAGAGGGAAGGAGGGGACCTGGGAGGAGGCAGCTGGGAGGAGGCAGCTGGGAGGAGGCAGCTGGGAGGAGGCAGCTGGGAGGAGGGGAAGATAACGAAAGTCAGGGCATGGAGAGAAGAGAACATAAAAAGTTTTACCTTTTTCACTTCAGCCAGCCACGCGCTGAACTCGGGTCGTTTGTTCCTGCGAGACAAGGCATAGCAAAGAAAAGATGGGTACTCTTTCAGACAAAGACAACAGCAGCAGCAGCAGCAGCAGCAGCAGCAGCAGCAGCAGCAGCAGCAGCAGCAGCAGCAGCAGCAGCAGCAGCAGCAGCAGCAGCAGCAGCAGCAGCAGCAGCAGCAGTAGAAGCAGCAGAAACAGCAGCAGTGATGGTGGAAAGGAGTATGCACCGGCACAAGCAATCCGGATGTGAGAGCTGATTCCGCTGAAGATTGAGAAACGGGACGAGGTCCAGGGTCCTGGTTACTCAGACAGCTTAAATCATTAAACACACTCGCGTTAAGTGACACTCACCACATGTCCACTTCCCGAATAATGCCGTACTTCCCATACTCCATGACCGGGCCTTTAGACTTGGCCTCTTTCTTAGCCTCCCTCTTCGCCTTTTTCTTCTCCCTCTTCTCCTCCTTCTTCTTCTCCTTCTTCTTCCTCCTCTTCTCTTTCCTCTTCTTCTCTCTCTCCTTCCCCTTCTTCCTCTGCTCTCTCTCTTTCCTCCTCCTTTCTAGCCTCCTCTCATCCGTCTCACTCCCACTACTCTCCGACGTGGTCTCGTCTTCCTCCTCGTCCTCCTCTCCGTCATCATCGCTCCCTCTCTTCCTCTTCTTCTTTTTCCTCGACTTGCTCCCTTCCTTATCTCTCCTTTTCTCTCTTCGCGCTCGTTTCCTCTCCCTCCTCTCCTCCTCGCTATCTTCCGAACTCTCATCATCACTCTCACTCCCACTCTCGCTCCCACTCTCACTTTCACTCTCACTTTCGCTACTAGAATCTTTCCTTCGCCGCTTCCCCTTTCCCTTCCCCTTCTCCTTCCCCTTCTCGTGACGCCCGCTGCTCTTCTCCTTCTCTTTCTCCTTCTCCTTCCCCTTCCCCTTCCCCTTCTCCTGATCCTCCTTCTCCTTACCCCCACTCCCATCACTCTCCGATCCCCCCCATTCATCACTCTCCTGTCTCGTCTTCTTCCTCTCCTCTTCCTCCTTCGCATCTGCATCCTCACCTTCTGGCCCTTTCCCCTTCCTTTCACGGTTCCTAATCTCCTTACTCCTTCCTCTCTCCCTTTCCCTATCCCGCTTGTTCGAATCCGGATGCCGACTTTCCCCTTTCACTCCTCGTTCCCTTAATTTCTCATCGTCCTCCTTTCCTCGGCTGTCCCGTGCGCCTTCGCGACTTCGCCTTCCTTTTTTGCCCTCCATCTCGTCCTCGTCAGATCCCATAACGGTTCGGTTGTAGCGCAAAGAAATTCGCCTGTTAAAACCACAGATATGTTAAATTATTCAAACCGGGGACAGAAGCTACTAGACAGTGGAAAGCGCCTTAATTAATTGTTCATCTTAGGGTTTACAGACAATCTGGACTCTAGCGACTTGGGCTGGAGGGGGACAAACTAGAGCCACCGCAGCAGGTTTGACCCAGCATTGTACTCGATACAGAGCAAGCTTTCGGTTTGATGACAATGAGCAGAATGTAGCAAGCAGCAATAAAGATCTGTCCTATATTCTTGACTGTGCTGTCTGTCCATCAGACCAGCTCAGCTTGCACTTTTCACTGACACAAAGGATCCCCCCCGCCAACTGTAATTGTCTCCAGCCAATAAAATGCAGGAATTTGCTGCAAACAAAAAGTGATTCGTGACACATCTGAAGAATTTGCGACTCGCGATTCGCTACAGACTCGGTGTCGACATTCGTCGATGCCAGCGAGCTAATGCGAACACTCGCATCTTCGTGGGCCTCATCCAGATCCAGTCCACATGCCAGCACCACAGCCACGTGTTCCACATCCCACTGATCACGGTAATCAATGTGTGTGGCTTGGCTTGAAAAATCCACGGCTGGAATGTTTGCCCCCTCGTCAACATCGATGTGTCCGTTGTCATGACACGCTTTTCGTCCCTTCCTCTGGTCCAGTGCCTCCTCTTCTCTTCTCTTTCCATGCCCATCACACTCCCTGCAAGTCCCACCCATAACCATGTCAGGTCTGGTCTGGTCGTCCTCGAGATTTCCATCTTGGGACCTCCATTTCTTTCCCCTTCCAAGCAACCATTTTTTCCATGTAGTTCTCAGTCTGTCCTAGAAATAGGAATGAGCAGGCTCCAACACAAGCAGTCTAAGAACCTTAGCTGGTTAGCTTAGTCTACGACCTTAGCTTAGCCTGCCGTCAGTAGTTTTTTTTCATTCAGCAAGCCTGGGTCATTATTCGAAGTTGAAGGCACTTCTCTCACGTTATTTTTTACAGCTTGTCTACTGCGTGTAACCTTTTGACTAGCTCAGAACCTTTCAACTAGAGACAGAACTTTCTTGTTAGAAACATCTTATCCAGGCGAAATCAAGATGGATTCCTCCGAACCTTCACAGCACCGGATTTCAGCAGAACCGAATCTCATGACGCTGGCTTCCATTTCGCTCAGTCTCAACTCCAACCTTTTCTCCCAGCACACTGCATTAACGGCTGGTTACCTGGACACGAGCAAGGACAGTACGAGTCGGGCTGACGACAACAGGAATCTTCCTTCAGCAATCAAGCGTTCAGCCTCGAGAACGTCAGACGAGCTTTTGTATTTTGACGATGTTCGTGACGACATTCGTCAACCTCAGCCACTGGTCGTGGCAAAGGGAGGGCTTACGGACGGTCACCTGTTGGGAGCGTCCAACAAGAATGCTGGGAGCTTGGTGACGATGTCAGCGGGAGGCAATGCTGGCGGACTCGGGCGAATGCTGAACGATCTTTTTCGCAGCAACCGCGGAATCACCCCCTTGGGTCAGTATGGTTGATGTATCTATCCCTCGTTCGCTGGAATCCAGAAGAGCTCCCTTTCGCTTCTTCATCGTCCAAGGGTGCAGTTTGATCCCTACCTTTGTTCTCAGGTGCACAGCCTTCTCTATGTGTCTCTTCCGCAACAGGTTATCGCCGCGGCCGCGGATCAATCCAAAATTGGCGGCATGGGCGGTATGAACCCGCCAAGAATGACGTGGAGCACGCGGCGACGGCAATAACGGAGCCGGAGAAGAAAGTGGCGGACGCTGAGCGCAAGAAGCGCGTGCTCATTCTCATGAGCGACACGGGTGGAGGCCACCGCGCCAGTGCTGAGGCGATCAAGTCGACCTTCGAGCTAGAATACGGAGATAAGTACGAGGTGAGTCGGGCATAGAACCACGAGCAGCCGTTATTGTGTCTGAATTTTGTATGCAACGAGCGGAAACGAGATTGTTACGTTGATCAAGTCCACATGGCTTGTGCACTTATGAGGAGGATACGTAAGAGGTGCGTCGCTTTTGCCTTGCGACTGGAAGCACTTGTGAAAGCGTTCCCCTTTTCTCTCTGTTTCCTCTGTTTTCTCTTCCAGGTGACCATCATCGACCTGTGGAAGGAGCACACGCCATGGCCCTTCAACCAGATGCCCAAGAGCTACAGCTTCCTCGTGCGCCACGAGACGCTGTGGAAGGTGGCTTTTTACGCCACTAAGCCCAAGTTCGTGCACCAACCGCAGATGGCTGCGACCTCCGCGTTCGTTGCGAGGTGAGAGTGGAGAGGGATTGGAATGTTATGTTACTCGCTCCTCAAGAGCAGAAACGACAGACCTGGAACGCTGCAAAGCACACGAACATGTTTTTCGTGCGCCACGAGATGTTCTCTGGAAGGTGGCGTTTTATGACACCAAGGCGAAGTTTGGCTAACCACGAATCAAAAGATCACCTTTCTTAGGCTATAAGATGCTGTTTGCCTATCTTGGGCGAGTTTCTCCCACCCAGAACAAGCTAAAGAACAACTTGGGTTGCAATGAATTGGCCTTGGCGTGCAAAATCCATGATTGAACCATTAGGTACGTATCCTGCAAAGACTGCGGTCCAGTATCCTCTCTTTGATGTCGAAGCTATCTGTCCGCAGCCTTCAATGTATCAACTTCCTTCTCCCATGGCATCCCGCGCCCTCCCTGCCCCTCTTCCCCCCTCTTCCCTCTCCGCGCTTCATCAGGGAGGTATCCAAGGGACTGGACAAGTACAAGCCGGACGTAATAGTGAGCATGCACCCGCTCATGCAGCACATCCATCTACGTGCTGCGCTTCCTGCCTCTCAACCCTCGATGTATCAACCCCCGCTCCACCATGTGTCAACTCTTCCCCTCTTACCCCCTCTGTCACATTCCATCAGGGAGGTATCGAAGGGGCTGGACAAGTACAAGCCGGACGTGATAGTGAGCGTGCATCCGCTCATGCAGCACATCCCTCTGCGCGTGCTGCGTTCACGGGGCCTGCTGCACCGCATCCCCTTCACCACCGTTGTCACCGACCTCACCACATGCCACCCCACCTGGTGAGACACTAAGCTTCTTGACTGGAGGCACTTTTGGCGTTCCAGAATGTGAAAACACTGGAGAATCTCAAATAGTAACTTCCCACCACATTGTAACTTCACCGCCATTGTCGCCAAGCTCACCCCATGTGGTATGTTTCTTGATGCTTGCCTGGCTTGAGCCTTACACATATTGGCGATAAACTGAACACCAGAGGAGACTCGGACTTTGAGTGTCCTACAAGTGGCTTCCTGCTTCATCTTGTACTCTTGGGCCTGCCTTACCATCTGATTAGGTCACCCTCTCATGGTTCATGGGAATGATAACCCACACTTGAAGCTCTGAAAGCCTTTTTCTTCACCACCACCGTCCACCAGGTTCCACCGCCTGGTGACAGTGTGCTTCTGTCCCACCAAGGGCGTAGCTCTCCATGAATCCCATGCATAACGAACCTGATAACCCAAACAAGTGCTCACTGTATGCATCCGCTCTACCATCTTCCACCAGGTTCCACCACCTGGTGACAGTGTGCTTCTGTCCCACCAAGGGCGTGGCTCTCCATGAGTCCCATGCATAACGAACCTGATAGCCCAAACAACTCCTCACCGTGTGCCTCTACTCTTCCACCGTCCTCCAGGTTCCACCGCCTGGTGACAGTGTGCTTCTGTCCCACCAAGGGCGTGGCTCTCCATGAGTCCCATGCATAACGAACCTGATAGCCCAAACAACTCCTCACCGTGTGCCTCTACTCTTCCACCGTCCTCCAGGTTCCACCGCCTGGTGACAGTGTGCTTCTGTCCCACCAAGGGCGTGGCTCTCCATGAGTCCCATGCATAACGAACCTAATAGCCCAAACAACTCCTCACCGTGTGCCTCTACTCTTCCACCGTCCTCCAGGTTCCACCGCCTGGTGACAGTGTGCTTCTGTCCCACCAAGGGCGTGGCTCTCCATGAGTCCCATGCATAACGAACCTGATAGCCCAAACAACTCCTCACCGTGTGCCTCTACTCTTCCACCGTCCTCCAGGTTCCACCGCCTGGTGACAGTGTGCTTCTGTCCCACCAAGGACGTGGCTCTCCATGAGTCCCATGCATAACGAACCTGATAGCCCAAACAACTCCTCACCGTGTGCCTCTACTCTTCCACCGTCCTCCAGGTTCCACCGCCTGGTGACAGTGTGCTTCTGTCCCACCAAGGGCGTGGCTCTCCATGAGTCCCATGCATAACGAACCTAATAGCCCAAACAACTCCTCACCGTGTGCCTCTACTCTTCCACCGTCCTCCAGGTTCCACCGCCTGGTGACAGTGTGCTTCTGTCCCACCAAGGACGTGGCTCTCCATGAGTCCCATGCATAACGAACCTGATAGCCCAAACAACTCCTCACCGTGTGCCTCTACTCTTCCACCGTCCTCCAGGTTCCACCGCCTGGTGACAGTGTGCTTCTGTCCCACCAAGGACGTGGCTCTCCATGAGTCCCATGCATAACGAACCTGATAGCCCAAACAACTCCTCACCGTGTGCCTCTACTCTTCCACCGTCCTCCAGGTTCCACCGCCTGGTGACAGTGTGCTTCTGTCCCACCAAGGACGTGGCTCTCCATGAGTCCCATGCATAACGAACCTGATAGCCCAAACAACTCCTCACCGTGTGCCTCTACTCTTCCACCGTCCTCCAGGTTCCACCGCCTGGTGACAGTGTGCTTCTGTCCCACCAAGGGCGTGGCTCTCCATGAGTCCCATGCATAACGAACCTGATAGCCCAAACAACTCCTCACCGTGTGCCTCTACTCTTCCACCGTCCTCCAGGTTCCACCGCCTGGTGACAGTGTGCTTCTGTCCCACCAAGGACGTGGCTCTCCATGAGTCCCATGCATAACGAACCTGATAGCCCAAACAACTCCTCACCGTGTGCCTCTACTCTTCCACCGTCCTCCAGGTTCCACCGCCTGGTGACGGTGTGCTTCTGCCCCACCAAGGACGTGGCTCAACGAGCTCTCAAGGCAGGCCTGCAGCCGCCTCAGATCAGGATACACGGGCTGCCCATCCGACCAGCCTTCGCCAAGCCCTCAGCTCCCAAGGTGCTCCTTCTACCTCTGGTGGTTATCCCACTTCCGGCATTCTTCCCCCTTCCTCCCCCCCCTCCCCCACCCACCATGTTCCATCACCTTTCCCCTGCACCCTGCCGCGCTGCATGCTCCCTTCGTCTGAGATGCTATGGCTTTCCTCTCCCTCCTTTGCAAACCTCCACTCCACCCAATCCGTCTTTGTGCCCCACCCCCACAACCTCCCACCCCTCGGTTTCTCTATAACAGGACGAGCTGAGCAGAGTATTGGGGATGGACCCTGACCTGCCAGCAGCGCTGCTGATCGGCGGAGGGGGGGGCATGGGGCCTGTAGAGGCGACTGCAAGGGCATCCGTTATTTCTTACTGTCCGCCTACCTGCTCTCACTTCAGTAGCTCCTGACGTTTCCTGCCCCGCCTCTCACAATGTCCTCTCCACTCTTGCCCTCCCCTCTCCTCCCCACTTCCTCTTCCCTCTCTGCTGTTCCTTCTTCCCCACCCACTTGAAACAGGACGAGCTGCGCCAGGAATTGGGGATGGACCCTGATCTGCCAGCCGCACTGCTGATTGGCGGAGGGGAGGGCATGGGCCCTGTGGAGGCGACTGCGAGGGCGCTGGCAGCCAACCTGGCGCCCTCGCGTGGTGGGGAGGCGGTGGCCAAGGGGCAGCTCGTGGTGATCTGTGGCCGCAACAAGAAGCTGCTGGCTAATCTCCAGGCCGTCAAGTGGCCCTTGCCTGTTGTGGTGCGTGCAGGAGTCGAATGAGTGGGATATGAGTGTTGAGAAGGGTGTTTGAGTCAGGATGGGTAGCTGATGGGGAGTGGGATATTTATGGCTGTTGAGCATCAGGATGGGTAGCAGCAGATGGGTATTGGATTAAACTGCTGACCATGAGGATGAATTTCAGTGTGGGGTCCAGCCATGCTGGAAGGAGCTTTCATGTATTGATTGAAAACAATTCTCCTATTCCGTCCCCCTGTTTCCTAAGTCATGCTGCATCTCTTCCTATGCATTCAACTTCTTCCCCCTGGTCTCCCCTCTCCTTGACTCCTTCCTGTTTCCCTGTCACATGTCTTGCCCTCATTGCAGTTGAAGGGATTTGTGACCAATATGCCTGATGTGATGGCCGCATGTGACTGCATCATTACTAAGGTTAGTGTTTCTTCGGCATGCTGTCATGCAGCCGCGCTGCTACCCTCTTAGTGATGCACAGTGCTGCACATGGTGTGCTTGTATTTGGCCAGACCTATCATCATGCATGGCTGTATCATCAACAAGCAACACCACCAACCTAGTTGTTCTGTTATCTTCCTTTCAAACGTTTTCCGCTACCTTTATTTGATATGCCTCTTGGCAGGCTGGTCCTGGCACGATAGCAGAGTCTATGATCCGTGGTCTACCCATGGTGCTCAATGACTTTATTGCAGGACAGGTGCGTTGTTTTTTTTTCTCAAGCTATCCGTGTACTAGATCCATGCGAGTACAGACATCTTTAGGTTTTTTCTCTCTCTCTCCCTCCAGATCATCTGTGATTGTCTGGGTTACGCAGATTCCAGCCCATGTTTTCACCCATGCAACGTTCTGTGCGGGATTTCCTTCTCATACCCCTGGCTACATCAGGAAGCTGGAAATGTTCCATACGTTGTCGACAATGGCACCGGATTGTTTGAGGAGAATCCCAAAGAGATTGCGAACATTGTGGCAGACTGGTTTGGGCCCAAGGCAGACCAGTTCAAGCAGATGGCTGCCAACGCGCTCCGTGTTGCTCGTCCAGATGCTGTTTTTCGCATTGTGCAGGACCTGGACCAGCTTGCTTGTCGACCCCACACCCTTGACAATGTTACATTTGCTTTCACTTGATGGTTTCTGGTCATCATCTACTTGAAAGCATATTGTTGATTTATCTGACAAAATATTCTGGTACGGATATTTGAAGCTGTTTGCTTATAAGTAGGTTTTCACTATCGTAGGTGGGCATTTGATGAAACATCCAGAAATTTATGGTGACAGTAAGGAGGATGTGTTTCTTATTTTAGGACCAAAATGGCCCTTGTTTTGCGATACTAACTAACTTCGCGGGTATCGTGACACTGTCGTCAGATTGACCATGCATGTTCCAAGTTTGCGCGATTAGATAAGTGTTTGTGATAACCCACTAGTATCCATGTAGGAATACGAATATCGCTTTCGCTAGGCCACTGGGCACCCCTCGCGAACATTTGCGAATACTTTCCTAGGCGACCAAATTAGGTCGACAGCACACCAACATGAGGCATGTCAAGATGACTCCCAGCACGTGGGGTGAGTTGGGCTGGTTGGTGCCTGTCCTGTGTCAATTGTTCGACCCTTCCCAATCACATGGTTGATCTGTTTCACTTGAGAACCAACTTCTGTCACTGAAGAGGAGAACCAACTTCTGTCCGTGCCTTATCTTACGGATTCGTGGGTGGTCAGATCAGAGCCCGTCTGCTGATGAGTGAGCTTCGGATTCCGTCTGCCACTTCTAGGTTGCGCTTTCCCGTCTGATGGCAGGCTCCAAGTGGAAGTATAATATTGGCCTGCTACTTATTCTTCTTGTAGTTTTCATCTGGGTTACCTCCGCAGAGGTGACACAGGTACGGAAGTAATTTTCATTCTACCGCGCTTTTTCGTCAATCACCTATCGGCGGTAATTAACCGTTGCTTCTTCGTGCAGCTTATCTTCGAAAAATACAGGCACCCCTTTTTGCTCACGTGGCTCGGTGCGGCTCTGTTGGTCATTTACCTTCCGATCGCCTACCTCAGGGAGTGCATCACTCCGCTAATAGCCAAACCTAGCTCCGTCGTACCGGGCGCGAATTCAAAATCCCTAAAGGATCTGAAAAGTCACTCGAGCGGCGGCGAATTGCAACGACTTAAGAATGAGCCTCGACACCACAAGAGGCCCTCGAAGCCTCCACGTGAGATCGATGACAGCTCAATGGATGAAGAAAGTGACCTGGATACGGAATTGTTGCTTCAAAAGTCGTTATCGGATATCGCACAACCCGTTCGTTCCGCGAAGCTTTCCACCCGGGAAATCATTAAGTGTGCTCTCATCCTGGCACCGCTCTGGCTGCTTACTGAGGTTCGGTCGCATCCCCGCCCATCGCGCTCTGCTCAACGTTGCTTCACTTCCTGTTCTCTCTGCTGTCATGTTTTTGGATATTGAGCTGATTCGGTTGTTCCATGCAGTACCTGTCAAACGCCGCTCTGTCGATGACAAGTGTAGCCAGCACAACCATTCTTTCATCGACTTCAGGCCTTTTCACTCTCCTTTTCGGGGTTACATTAGGAAATGAAAAGTTAACAACGGCCAAGGTAGTTGCTGTCCTGGTGAGCATAGCTGGGGTGGTCATGACTGAGCTCGGCAAAAGCACTGCAGCGGATGATAGCACGGTGTTTGGTGACGATGCAAGAAATCCTGGCGAAGGAGCTGGTCAATATGTGTAAGTCTTTTTGTCTACACTCTGATAGTCCGCCTGGTTGTGTTGTGTGAATGATGATCGTCCGACGAGCTGTCACTCTCACTTGTTGTCCGTTGCAGGTTACCGAGTCAACATCTTGTTGGTGATATTTTCGGCCTCCTCTCTGCAGTCTCTTATGGAGTATACACAAGTAAGCCATTTGCGCATTAGATAGTGGCACCAAAGGCAATCCAACTTCTCATTCAAGTTTGTGTTGAACTTGCAGCTCTTCTGCGCAAGTATGTCGGCGATGATGAAGCAGGAGAAGAGAAAGCCGATATGCAGAAAGTTTTTGGGTTCATTGGCTTGGTCACCTTACTCGGGCTATGGTGGATTGGTGAGCCAAGCAATCTCTCTCTTTCTCTCTCTCTCTCCCCCCCCCCCTCTCTCTCTCTCTCTTTCTCTTCCTCTCTCTCTCTCTCTCTCTCTCTCTCTCTCTCTCTCTCTCTCTCTCTCTCTCGCTCTAATTGCCCTTTCATTGATATTCAAGGTGTATAGACATGCAAGGTATAGGTTTCAAGCACGCAGGGCTAATACATATTATACTCACTCTTCAGCTCAACACCCTCTAAGCGAGATCCAGTGCAGGATCCAGATCAGGATCTCTCTCTCTCTCTCTCTCTCTCTCTCTCTCTCTCTCTCTCTCTCTCTCTCTCTCTCTCTCTCTCTCTCTCTCTCCCCCCCCCTCCCCCCCTCTCTCTCTTCTTCTCTCGCTTCCACTTTTCTGATTTGTTTCACTTCAGTTTCCTCGTATGTCAGCCCTCATGTTATGCATGTGTCTTCTGGCAGTTTTCCCTCTTCATGTCCTTGGATGGGAACCATTGGCCGTTATGCCAAGCACTGTCAATCTAGATGAGGACATTGTTGCCAACAGCCTTGTTGGCAGTGTGGTCTCCGATTATTGCTGGTGAGCTGGCTCACATGCCTCTTGAAATGTCACAGTCCAATCTGCTCTGATTGCAGGAATGCATCTGTGTACACTTTGTACCCTAAATTGCTCTTCATATTGGGATGGTTCATTTTCTGTTGCAGGGCGTTATCAGTTGTATGGACAACACCTCTTGTTGCCACGCTGGGCCTGTCCTTAACCATCCCACTTGCCATGGTTGCGGACATGGTGATGCATGGCCGTCAGTACTCATTTGTGTATATTCTTGGTTCTATCCAGGTGAGTCGAGGAGTTCTGTGTGCTTGTGATGCAAAGCTTTCCATCGTGTGGTTCATTTTTCACAATGTAAACGTTTGTCTGCAGGTGTTTGGTGGCTTTTTGATTGCAAACATGGCGGACAAGTGCATGGGTGGTCCTGCGACAGATCATGAAAGCCCACGGTTTGAGAAGGAGATGATTGATATTCTCAGGAGCCCGGTGGATTGACCACTTGACTGATGGAAGTGGATGTGTTTGATGTTGCCGTTGCATATTGCAGTAGCATGTATGGTTGCGGACCAAGGAATTGTCCTAGAAAACAGCACCTTGGCTGGCCACTTTGTGCTGTGCACCCAAGGTGCGCTTGCATTGCATCTCTGAAATAGAATTTGGTTTGTTTCCCCTTTCGATAGTATCGTATGCGTAGTAGAGTGCATGTAGGGCTAATTTTATCAGAGTAAATCACCCTGATACCTTGATTATCAGGGTGGTTTTGGTAGTCACACTGATGGCCTGGGGCGGTTTTTTTTTCAGCCATGATTTTCCTGATATGCCAGGGTTTACATTTAAAACCGAAATATAGAATAATGAACCCCGTCCCAGCTTGAAAGGATCTTCCCGGGTGGGTTTGCAGAGCAATGTTTCAAACATTTCGTGTGTGCAGATCGAACCCATTTGATTGGTTCCCGCCAAAAACGAATTTTTTAGGCCTTACACAAGGAGTCGCATTCAACATGATGCACCCGCACGACGGCTGTACGGCGATCATTGCGATCGTTGGGCCCAACTCCAACTTCAAGCTGGACCTGGGTTCCACTACTTCTTTCTACTCTAGTCTCTACTTTAGCCAAGCTTAGAATAGTTGAAAACGTAGGCATTTTTGCCTAGGCAACTACCATTTTATAGATTTAATCCACATCCTTCTATTTGTGGCCTAGTGACGAGGGATCTTACGCGTCTCGTAGCGATACTTGCCTCGAGATTTGTCGGTTGAATGCGCTCGCCGCCGAAACGCCCTTTCGTCGCTCAGCTCATCACCTTCACATTCGCGTGGAATTGCCCTCGCGGCGGCCGTATTCCGTCCCCCCCCGCCCATCACCCACCTCTTCGCATTCGCACTTGCCTCGAAACATTCTCTCGTCTCCCACCCCATTTTTCCCATTTCGTCCCATCGCTTACGAGCTCTCCCCTCCTGTCCTCTCGCCCTCTCTCTCGCCCCTCCATTCCCGTCGCGTGCTCTCTCTCCGCGCCCTTCTCGTCGCCCCTCTCATCTCGTCGCGCTCTCTCTATCCGCGCCCTCCCCGTCGCCTCCCTTCCCATCGCGCTCTCTCTCTTTCCTCCCTTCCCGTCGCCCTCTCTCTCGCCCCTCCCTTCCCATCGCGCTCTCTCTCTCCGCGCCCTTCTCATCGCCCTCTCTCTCGCCCCTCTCATCTCGTCGCGCTCTCTCTATCCGCGCCCTTCCCGTCGCCTCCCTTCCCGCCGCCCTCTCTCTCTCCCCTCCCTTCCCGTCGCCCTCTCTCTCGCCCCTCCCTTCCCGTCGTGTTCTCTCTCTCCGCGCCCTTCCCGTCGCCCTCTCTCCCGTCGCCCTCTCTCCCATCGCCCTCGCTCTCTTCTTCGCTCTGTCCCGGCGTTATATATATGCTTGCCTTCCGGCGAAGTGCTCTTTCGCCTCTCGCGCGATCGTTACGGTTCCTGTCACTGTTGGCACCACGAAACGCTCTCGAGTAGTCGCCATTGCGCTCCTCTCTACCCGCGCCATCGCCCCTCCCTTTCCTTCCCCACGATATTGCCATCACCCTTTCCTTTCGATCAGCGTACCTTTATTCCACCCCGTCTCGTCGCCCTCAAGAACTCCCCTACCTTCGCGTCTTCTTGTTGTTCTCCCATCCCCTTTCTTCGCCCTCGGTGTCTCCGCTCCCCTCCCGTCTTTCTTCCTCTCTCCGCTCCCCTAACGTCGCTCTTCCCATCTCCGCTTCCATTCACGTCCTTGTTCCTCTCGCCCTTGATCTTTCCTGTCGTTATTCCTCACTACCGTCCCCTCCCCTCCCCTTGTTAATATTATTCTAAAAGAGCAGGCCGCATGTCCTTCGCTGCACCGGTCTCACAGGTCGACTAGCTCTGGATCACCTAAACATTCTCGTTGCATGTGTGTGGGTTGTCGGAACTGCTTGTGTCGTTGCATCACGCAAAGCTTCTGGTACATTCACTGGTACATTCACTGGAACAATTGGAAGCTTTGCACGTCGTGCAGCCTTGCGCCAAAATCGCACATGTATGTGCGAGAAAGTTTGTGACCAATCAGAGTTCATAAATATGATCCAATTGTTCCCCCTTCACTTTGAGGCAAACTCTGGTGTTGAAAGAAAATCTCATACGTAACTTCCAACTTTCCCAAAATTTCCGTTTTCAAGTTGGACCCAACTAGAAGGGGGGGGTGACTATTTTAGCTGCTGGCTTTAAGGTACACTGATGCCACTTCCCCCACCCCCCCTTTCCCGTAACCCGGGATTCCCGATTGCCAACTGTCGAAACAGGAATCTCAGCCTCGACAATACATGTGCTGGCACGAAGTGGGCCACCTTTGGTCATAAACATTAGGGTCTGAAAAACTGGTACACTGATGCCACAGAGTTGGATTTTCATAAACAAAACAAGAGGCGACGAAATCATCTTAGGGTTGCGAAGCTACTTTGCTATTTTTAGTATTTGGTTTGTTTTTCATCTTATATGAAATGTTAAACTCCTTCTAAAGGAATGCTTCTTCAGTTGAAGTTGGTAAAATGATCGCACGAAGAATTGAACCTAAAACCTTCCAATCGCAAAACACCATCGAATGCGCTACATGTAACGAACGAAGTTTGATTTGATTGCATTGGTAAGATAACATTGCGCGTGAATAGATCTAGGGTTTCGTTTTCATTTTCCTCTCTCTCTTCCCCACGCGACTGAAGCCTTGCCTCCTCGCTGGTGGAGTTTGCTTTTACCCTCACGCTGTTCAAGCTCTACCTACCACTTCAAGGTCAGGAAGATAGAAGCTATTAACTAGAACTAACTAGATGATAATTAGCTAGACTCGGTTTACGTCATCTCTTCGGTTTAGGTCGACGAGATCGTGGTTAGGTTTCGAGATTTCGTTTTTTCCTTCCTCTGAATTCCTCTCCTTTCTTCACGCTACTCTCACCTACCACGGTTCTTTCTATTTGTCTATGCACTAGTAGATCTACATCAAGTTTTTTCTCTCTTTTGTTTCTCCCGTTTCTGATCTCCCTTGGTTAGTTCTTTAAGACCTTTCCAACTTTCTGTTTTGTTATCTTGCCTTCGTTTTTGTTACCTCTGTTCTGTCGCCTATTCAGGTTTCCGTCTTTTCTTCACCTTCGCTTCTTTCTCCATCCGCTATTCTTATCTCTCTTCACCGTTTCCCTCCGTCTGTGTCTCTCTTTCGTTTCTCCTGTTTTGTTGTTCCACTGACGTCGTTCTGTTAGTGCTTGGCATGCTGGCGACTTTTTGCTCGTGCCAGGCGCGCTATCCGCGGCGACAACACCACGCTCTCCATATCCAGGCGTGCTATCCGCGGCTGCTGCAGCAACCAAGTCGGCAGAATTGGTGAGAGAAGAGCGTGGGAAAGAAATAGAATTAGTGATGGAGTGGGGGAGAGAGTGGGAAAGGGAGTAGAGGAGAGAATGAGTGTGGAAAGAGAATAAAAGAGAAGTTGGTACTAGTATTCGCTTGCCCCTTCTCTTTCTCGTTTTTGTAGAAGTGTTTTTTGGCCTCACCTTCATAACTCCTTAACTCTCCATTCCTTTCTCTATCATTATTCATTTTCATAAGAGAGAGCAATGTAAAATGAGAGAGCGTCTGTTTTCCTAGTTTCTTCTTTTGTCATTTATTCAGCTATGCACAATCTAGGCGTAGCAAATTGATTTCGTAGCTAAGTGGATTTTATTTTTAATTTCCTTTTGTTTCGCATTTCATATGTTTCTCTTACCCGCTGCTCTTTCCATCTTCATCTTAACGTTAGTCTTATTCGTTAGCCATTAACTTTTCTTGCACCTCGTTCCCTGCCACTATTCGTTTCTCTTAGTCGGATTTGTTTTCTTCCATGTCTATCTTTTCTTTATTAGCCTGCACTTGTTCCTTCTATTTTTATTGCGCATGCTGAGAATCTACTTCGCGACCTTTCGAAAACTCTCTTTGTCTTGCTCTCTCTTTCTCTCTCTCCCTCTCTCGCTCTCTCTCTCTCCCTCTCTCTCTCTCTCTCTCTCTCTCTCTCTCTCTCTCTCTCTCTCTCTCTCTCTCTCTCTCTCTCTCTCTCTCTTTCTCTCTCTCTCTCTCGTTCTCTCTCGTCCTCTCTCTCTCGTCCTCTCTCTCTCGTCCCCTTTCCCTCGCTCTAGCTCTCCGTATTCGTTATGTTCTCTTTTTTCTATTTAGTGTCTCGTATCAGAATCTAGCAGCAGGAATGATTGAACCATGGAAGAGTTTGGTACAAATATGAAACCCTAAAGTGGGCTTTACCCCATATTGGCTACCCCACTACAGCCTAAACATGTATAGTAGATATAACGTTTGACACACCCCCATTGGCAAAGTGGGGGAGAACAAGGGGTCACAAGACCAATCAAGAGAAGCAAAGCAAGCTCAGGGTGAATCACAAGGTCACCACACACACTGAGCACAAGTAGAGGGCCACAAGGCAAGTTCACATGCAGAGGTACATATGCAACAATAACAGCATAGTGATCTCTACCTAGCAAAAAAAAAAAAAGTATATATATAGATCACAGTACAAGCAAAGTCTACAGCAAGTTAGGAAATGTGGGCACAAGGCCTAACAAAGGGCAGAAACGCTGATGATCACCAGACAAAAGTGCCTTGGTGAATATATCAGCAGTGTTGGCCCGAGTGGCCACGTGAGCGAGACGAAGCTGACCACGCTGCTGCAACTCTCAAGCCACGAAGTAACGCAGAGTGATGTGCTTCGTTCTGTGCTCCAGTCTGTGCTCCTAACACAAGGCAATGGCGGCCTTGTTGTCAACGTACAGCACTGGAGGAGAACGAGGCCGCTCTCCCAAGTCGGTCAACAGGTAGGTGAGCCAGCGTTACTCCTGTGCAGCCATGGTTGTGGCGTAGATCTCAGCCTCACAACAGGAGTTGAGAGCTGAAGACGAGCGTGTAGAACGCCAAGAAACTGAACCTGAGCCAAGGCTGAAGGTGTAACCCTGTGACGACCGCTGCGTAGCCAGGTCATCAACCCAAGAAGCGTCCGAGTGCTCAGTGAGGACACCTGGGCTCCGCCCTCCAAGCACGAGCCCCATGTCCGATGTACTGCACAAGTAGCATAGTACCCTCTTAGCAGTAGCCATGTGCTCTGGTCTGTGCCTACCAGGAGCCACGTAGCGAGCTAGAAGGCCAAGAGGGTACGCAAGGTCAGGTCGAGTGCAGGTCATCAGGTACATGAGGCAGCCCACTAGCTCTGGGTATGGGCCACTCGGCTCTACGGACTCGTCCGAATGTGGAGCTCAGAGCGGGTGGCCTGTAGCCAGACGAGTATGCTGTGGCGAGGACCAGGTGAAGCCGAAGCGCTGAAGGACCTGCTGCACCATGTGTGACTGAGTCAGTGTGATGGTGCGGCTTGCTCTGTCCCGTGTGATCTGCAAGCCAAGATAACTTGTCAGCTCACCCAGGTCTGTGCACGTGTGTCTCTTCTGCAGCTCCGACTTCACCAGGGCGAGAGCCTCAGTGTCAGCAGAGGCAAAAACCAAGTCGTCGACGTACACGAGGATGTAGAACGGCGGCAGCGACGTGTTGGTGCGCAGAAACAGCGACGGGTCAGCAGTCGACGGAGCAAACCCAAGAGCCGCAAGTGTAGTCCTTAGTGTGTCGTGCCACTCACGTGGTGCCTGGCGGAGACCGTAGACTGGCCGCCGGAGGCTCCATTGGGTACCAAGAGGGAACAACCCAGTGAAACCAGGAGGGTGGCGTAGCCAGATCTCCTTGTGCAGGCTGCCCTGTAAGAAAGCTGTGCTGAAGTCAAGAGAGTGAAGCTTGTAGTCACGCTGAGTGGCAACGTGCAGCAGCACCCGAAGAGTGGTCATCTTCAGGGTGGGGGAGAAAGTCTAAAAGAAGTCAACTCCCTCTTGCTGACTGAAACCTCGAGCAATGTAACAAGCCTTGAAGACATGCGGAGAACCTGGCGGCCGTTCACCCTGAAAATCCACATGCCACTGAAGATGTTCGCCCCAGGAGGGGGAACCTCGTCAACGTAAGTGCTTGTGGACTTCCAGGATGCCATCTCTGCGTCCATGGTTGTCTGCCACTGAGAGGAGTACTCACCCGCGATCGCCTCAGCATAAGAGCGCGGGGTCGGGATGTCTGGAGCATCCGAGTCTCCCTCAGGGGCAAGCATCATGGACACGAGGTGAGACGCAGCGGCTGCAAGACACTCAAGGTCCTCCTGCCTGTCCTCAAGGACGTCCGTGCCAAGGGCATACTCACCCCCAACAGACGGAGGACAGACAGACTCAGACTCAGCAACAAGACTAGCAGCGTAGTCTAGATGACATGCAGCAGCAAATTCAACAAGCTTTGTAACAAAGGCAGACGCAGCAGCAGACTCAAACGAAGGGTCAGTGACAACTGTGGCTAGCAGACGCGTGATAGTAGGGTGAGCAGCACGGGTGCGATCAAACTCAGGCTCAGGTACAGTAGGCAGAGAAGACGCAAGAGGGGACGGCAGGGGGACACGCTGCGTAGGAGAGGAAAGACGACGAACTACGAGGTGGGTGCCGGGGACAGTCGGTTGACGGGAACGAGGCACGCTACGACCGGAGCTACTAGAACAGACAGGCTAGACATGACGTGACGCAGGCTCACGACGCTCAGTGAAACCCCCTGTTTGCTCGGTGTAAGGAGAAGGAGCAGGCACCAGTGAGCCAGGCTGTAGCGGAAGACCAGTAGACGAAGGGAGACTAAGAACCTGGCGAAGCACAGAGTCAGGCGGTGGCTGAGATGACGGAGACGGTGGAGCGAAGAACAGGCGCGGGTGTGCAGTGCCACCAG